ATGGTTCCCCATTAAAAAGAAATTGGGAATTTTGCCAGTGGTAAAGGGAAAAGGCTTGAGCATTGTGATGAGCCCATCTTACTCCTTCCTTTCAATGGGATGACTTTTTAGAAAAGACAGTCAGTCTCTGGCATGAGTTTTGGAAAGAAGAAAACTTTCAAGCAAAAAAGGCAGAGATAAATAAAAGGAACAAATTGGGGTAACCATTAACTTGGTCTCATCAGAACAAAAGGAATGGATTGCTTCCATTTTTTATTGATCATCCATTAAATTTTATTACTCAGATGCCCATGTGTCTTTCATCATCCCTTTCCCACTAACCGCATCCTAAACCAGGACTTTATTAGCTCATACTTGGATTATTGTAATAGCCTCTTAACTGGGCTCTTCCATCCTACACATAACAATTATCTTCCTGAAACAGAACTTTCATCAGGTCACTCCCCTACTCGAAAATTCTTAACTCCATGACATTGCTTACAGCATCAAATCCAGATTCCTTCTGGCATTCAAGGCTATGCATGGTATGGCCCTGACCTACCTTTCCAGCTCCAGTAAAACTGGTCCACTTGCTCTTCAGCTGTTGTTCAGTCATTTTCAATTGTGTCTTTATGACCCCATTTGGGGTTTTCTAGGACAAAGATACTGGGGTGGTTTGCCATTTCCTTCTCCAGCTGATTTTACAGAAGAGGAAACTGAGGCAAACAGGGTTAAGTGATTGCCCAGGGTCACACAGCTAGTAAGTGTCTCAGGCTAAATTTGAACTCAAGTCTCCTTGACTCCAGGCCCAGTGCTCTATGTTTATGCACATACTGTTCAGCCTTACAGAGCTTGCTTCAAGACCATCTCCTTCATGAAGCCTTTGCTGATATGCACAGCTATCAGGGGCTCCTTTAGCGACTGACTACCACTTATTTGAGATTTAGATTACTGTTATTTTTTTGTGGTGCGTATGTGTAATTCTCCTAGTTAGATGCTAAATTCCTGCAAGTCAGGGACTGGGCCTCATCCCTTTTTGTTTCCTCTGTAGTACCATGGTTTAGCTCAGTGCCTGGCACACGGTAGCACCAACAGTAAATTATTATTAAATTCTTATTAAATTATCAATTACTGATGAGGAGGAGGAGCATGAGGAGTACTATATGAATTTGGTGTTGAAGCCAATATGATTAATTTCCTATCATTTCAGAGAAGACAAGGTTTAAGGAGAAAGCAGTGCTCCTGGGCCTCATAAAGGATGCAGGACTCAATTCATTTTTATATTACTTTACATATGGAGCCTTGCTAAGTTTAGAGATCTTAACTTTACAATAACTGTAAAAAACAGTGCAATTTCAAGTATTCCCCTGAATGACAAACAAAATACAGAATTTTAAAAAATCAATCAATTTAATCACATTTCCAGATTTGGTGAAAGATAAGAAGGCAGACAGCCACATGCACAACTACACATTCAGTAAACAAAGGTGAATGGAGTAGGGAGGGATGGCTGGCAGCCTGGGAAGCCATATGCAACTTTTACTTCTCTCCAGAACTGTAACTAGCAGTTTTTGCACCTGGGGCAAAGTGTGCCCTCTTTTGAGCAGGGGAGGGGGTGGTTTGAGAGCTCACCTCACCCCACTAACTGGTAGGTTTCTGTTTGAAGTATTTCTGTTCCTGCCAATGAGGTTGCTTACCTCTGTAGTTTTTCTAACAATGAGTGTTAAGAGCTGTGTGTAATTCCTCTAAACTGAGTGATTGCCCTGAAGTCCTGATTGCCCTACCCTAGTTCTATGCCTGCCTCCTTCAGTTTCAGAGAGGCAAAAGAATTTCCAGCAGTGGCTACTTCTAAGTTTCCAACTATAGTGAACTAAGGCTAAGCTGAAAAGATGATCATAAGAGCATCACTTTGGTATGCTTAGGCCCTCAGGTTTTGTTAAGGGTGGACAAAATAGTAGGTCAGGCATTAGTTAATACCAGTAACTTGGAGGGAGAGAAGGAGGAAATGAAGGATGTTTTGTTCAAAAGTACAAAGACCTGTGTGAGTCCAGATCAAGCACTTAGCTTTTAGACTGCAGAACAGTACTTGGAAAGGGACTCATGTCAGGGGCCTGCTGGTAAATGTTTAACAACAGGGCTGGGGGTAGGGTGTGGAGAGGTGTAGACACTCACACTTTTAATCCACATTATTAATACTTTCTTAAGTCTAGACAATCAACAAAAACAATAATTAAGCCCTGACTGGAGCAAATGCCAATCTCCAGGCATAAACTCTCACGCTGAAAATTTAACAATCTCTCACAAGGCGGTTACAGCTGGCTCCAACATATTCCCAAACATGCGTGTGTGGAACAGGTAGAGCTGGGACAGGCAATCCCCAAGACGTCCAGAAAAGATGAACACTCACATAGGATCCCCAAAAAGGCTCTCTAACCCAGAGAGCAGCCAAGACTATCCCACTGTGGAGGCATTCATCCTTGGGAGCACTTTGGGCACACACAGGATCAGCTGTGGCTCTGTGGGCTAGAACACTGGTGGCCTGGCACCGGGGACGTTCTGCTTGGCATGGCCTCTGTCATGAGGGTGTTTCAGCACTCCTGCCCAGGCCCGAAGTGTAACCGAGGGGGCCCATGACAGCAGGGGGCCATGAACTCCCTGTCCAGATAGTACTCTTGGCTCAGGCGATCACCCTCATTCCAGGGGTCTGAAAAGCCCTGGAGAGAGGCATCCCTCAGCAGCATCACTCGGCTAAGTCCATCCAAGCAACCCAAGACGTTCAGATCTGTGTCTGCTCCACGCTGCTGTGTTCTTCATCCTCAGAATGCAACCACGTCCAGTCCAGGGTCTGGAAGCCAACACAGGCGCATTACAAGACAGCAATTTCAGCAGTACAAGTAAGTCATCTTATTATTATATTCTGGTTATATGCTTTGGATGTTGTCTCCAAATTAAAAACCTCACCTAACTTCTTCATTTTGAATTAGCCAAGTTGTCGTTCATTCATTTTGGTTGTGACGGATTGAGACCCCATTTGGAGCTGTCTTGGCAAGGATACTGGAGTGATTTGCCATTTCCTTCTCCAGCTTATTTTACAGATGAAGAAACTGAGGCAAATAGGGTCAAGTGACTTGCCCAGGGTCACAAAGTTAGTGAGTATCTCAGGCTGCATTTGAACTCTTCCTGATTCTAGGTCTTGAAGCTCTGTGCACTATGGAGCCACCTAGCTGCCCTTGTATTAGGGGAGAGGTCTTCAGTAATCTTAAGATTTGATTATGATGAAAGCTGGAGGTTCAATTTTAGTGTCATTGTTTTTAGCACAGAGCACTTATCTATGCTTACTGGAGAAAAGAAAGTGCTACTTAGGGTATCTTCGGGTTGTATGAAGCCTTGGAAATAGTTATAAGAGAAGCCTAAAAATGCGTGGGTCCTGATGAAAATGTTTGAGGTGCAGTTCTGGAGTCAGACGACCCAGGTTCCAAGCCCGTCTCTGCCACAGTCACTTACCTCTCTGGGCCTCAGTTTCCTTGCCTGTAAAATGAGGGTGGCTGGATGAGATGCTCTCTCAGGTCCCCTTCCGGCTCTACATCTATAATCCCATGACCCCATTGTCCTGCACATGTGCCCCCCACTTTAAATTCACACTTATTATTCATCGTGAAGGTGATAAGGCTCTACGTTTTATGGTCTCCTTTGTTTCTGCTCTTCCCATATGCAGGATCTGACTCAGAGGACTGGCATGTCAATGTTTTCTTGACAAATGGGCTAGTTCTAGAGTTGAGTATGTGTGTGTGTACACTGAGGTCTGTTCCCCTTCCTCCATAATGCCAAACTCCGGAAAACTTGTCTTCAGAAGGCACAAAAGTCACTGGTGTGGTGTCCCAGAGTACCCATTAATCAATCCATTCTCCATTGTTGCAGAACAATATTCTCCAACATATTGTTATTGTTATTAATGCTAATAATAACAACAGTAGTACGAATATCATGAATACAGAGAAGTAGGCAGCTGGTGGTACAGGGGATAAGAGTACCTGGCTCGGAGTCACAAAGACCTGAATTCAAATGCAGCCCTAGAGACTTAATAGCTGTGTGACCCTGGGCAAGTCACTTAACTTCCATTTGCCTCAGTTTCCTCATCTGTAAAATGTGGATAATATAGCACTTACTTCCCAGAAATTTTGTGAAGATTGAATGAAATAGTAATTGTAAACACCTGGCACGTAGTGAACACGACGTAAATGTTTGCTACGATTATTATTACTACAGAGAACTCTGGAAAGACTTACATGAACAAAGTTCATGTAAAAAAAAGTTCAAGGAAAGTAAGCAGAGCTGAAAAAACAACATATACAATTACAACAATGGAAATAGAAAGATCAGCTATTACAAAATGAATTACAAAAAATAATGAAGTATTCATTATATCGGTTTTCTCGAAATGGAAATTTATTTTTTTATATCGAATCCTATCATGTTCTGCTGTGTACATGGAAATGTTCCTTTTTTTTCTTTTCTTGTTTTGCATTTACACTTAAAATGAATAAAAAATTTACAAAAAAAGGAAAATGAATTAAAAAATTATAAAGAATAAGGTGTGGCCTATAGAAAAGTTATGAGAGGACACCTCCCCTGAGTCCTTTGCAGAAGTGGGAAAGGGGAGGGGAGATCTATGGGTGTGGAACACTGCATATGTTGTCAGATTTTTTTTTCATGTATTGCCTCATTTTGTTGATTTTTCCCTCCTTTCTCTTTTTCTTTCAAAAAAGAAATTCTTATATGGGATGGCTCTCTGGGAGGGGGGAGAGGAAAAGATACAGGGGGATATTTAGCTGATATTAAAACAAAAGGCATGAATACACATAAAAAAACAGTAGAGGCAGCTAAGTTGCGCACTGGAGTCAGGAGGATCTGAGTTCAAATTTGACTTCAGACACTTGAGCAAAGCTGTGTGACCCTGGGCAAGTCACTTAACCCCAATTGCTTCACCAAAAAACCAAAACAAAGCAAACCCCCCCCCCAAAAAAAAACAAACAAAAAACCCAAAAACATAGTGGTGGTGGTGGTGGCTACTCTGTCTAAAATTCTTTGAGAAGATTTTCTAAAGATGCTGAGATAATTCTTGAATGAAATGAAAAGGAAGTCCCCAAAGGTTGTAAAAAGGCATCTGAAACATTTCATTTCATTAGTTAGTCACTACATCAGTTTTGCTTAATTGTTTTTAATTTGTTACAAAGGAAGACTCAAGGGGGTGAGGATTGGGTGAGTAGGGGGATGAGACTTTTTGGAAATGATGGCAATGTAAAATAAAAAAATCCAAAAGTTTCCTTCCCTTAAACTCCAATGATTCTCTGAACGATTAGTGTATGTGACATCTACTGAAAAGTTTTTCAAAGGTCAAAGTTAATCCAAACGTGGAAACACTGCATTTAGAATGGGCTAAATCTTCACGCACTGCCTCTGGAAAAGCATGCGAGTCTTTCAAATCTAGGTAGTCATGCGTATCTGTGCAAACACTTTGTAGCCACAAGAATGAAGAACAGATAGCTAGCTGGTCTGTAGACACATATGTTTAAACTAAAAAGGGAGACAGCAGAATGGAGAAACACTCATGGGTAATCCCAGGCAAGCTGAGCTCAAGCCAAGTCTTCACGTGTGTTGCCTGGTCTAGAATCCCTACTCAGCAACAATCCCTAACCCTAAAAGGGTGATCTGTATGAAGGAAACTTTCAGTGCCAACCACTGCATCCTCAGAATTCAGAATGTGTCTGGGGACAGGGGAGCCATGTGGGACAGCTGGAGATACTTACACTTGTGGTATGCTTTTCCCCCCCTAAAGTGTCATTATTTGACAGACATTTCTTTCGTTATCAAGGTCTCAAATATTTAGACACTACTAACTTCTCCCTATATTTTCTAATATAGTCTTTGTAATGAAATTTTTTAAAAATAAAAATAAAAAGGGAGACAGCTGGGATGGTCCACTGCTCTGAGACTAAACAATCTGCACTTATTATGGAAAGAAGAAAGATGCTTGATGAAACATGATGCAACAAGCAAAGGGGCAGCCCTGACCACAAAGATAATGGCGTTAGAGTTCAGAGGGACTCAGAGGCTGCCTAGAACGATCCTATCATTTTAGAGATGAAGAAACTGAGGCCAGGAGAGGTCAAATGACTTGTTACAACTCATGTGAGGTGTAAGCGACAGAGTTACTAGTTAAGATTTGTTAAATTGTACTCTCCTCGTGGGCAAGGGATGTTCTTGGCGTCTTTTTGTATCCCCAGCGCTTACCACTGTGCTTGGCACTTAGCAGGTGGTTAATAAATGTTTAATGATTGATTGATATATGAAATTGTAAAACAGAGCAGAGATGGCTTTTACTGCCACAGTATATGCTCTCTGCCTCAGCAAAGTGTCCTCATGCACATTAACCCCTAGCAAAAGGGGCTTCAATTTGGATGGGGGCCCAGAGGGAGTAACTGAAAAATTGTTATATGCTATGTACTGAAATTAATTTAAATGCAAGTAATTACTAAGCAAATTTAGGTGGTTGTACTGATGTTCAGTGTTAAGTTTTTAAGTTAAGATATTTATTATTTTAAAAGAAAAGAAAACAAGGTGGGGGTGGGATGGGGGCTTTGAGTTCTCTAAGATACTGTGATACTTATGGAACTGTGGGGGGAAAAAAAACCAAACCAGCGCCCAGAGAGAACCTGCAAAGAAAAAAAAAAGTGCTTACACCATGTCTAGCAAAGCAATAATTCTCTCCAAAGGTACTTTGCATGATGATGATGGTAATGATGATTTTTAGAGGAATTTATTTCCTAGGTGTGGAGGCACATGGCTATTGTCCCCTCTGCTGAGGAAGGTGAGGTGGGCAGATCACTTGAAACTTGGGAGTTCTGAACTATAGAGCTAAAGCTGATTGGCTGTCCACACAGTCTAGCACCAATGTGGTGAGCCCCTGAGAGTGAAGGGCCACCAGGCTGCCTAAGGAGGGGCAAGTTAGGTCAGTTCAGAAAAACAGAGTAAGGTTAAAGCTTTCTGATGCCTATCAGGAGTGGTCACTGCACTTCTAGCCTGGGCAAGAGAGGTAGGCTCAGCCTCAAAAAAAAAAAGGGGTCACATGTCATTGTCAATTCCTTGATTAATTTTCCTTTAAAATAAAAAAGAAAGCAAGAAAACAGGACACAACACTTAATCCTGTTGTTGCCCTACTGACTGGTTAGTTGCATTGGTGATAAAGTGGGTGCCTATGAGACATGATAATAATGTTGATGAGTCTGGCACTTGGTAGGAATTTGAGAAAAAGGTTCTGCATACATGGGCATTTGGAATAATCAATAAGGCACTGCTCAGTATTAAGGCAGACTTTCTCATGAGTGTGGTTTCCTTGTACTTTGGAAACATTTGATAATTGCCTTCCCTTCCAGAGATAAGTCTCAACATGGATACGATGCATTTAGCATGGTCAGAATCTCCACACTGCATTTGGAAAAGACCCCCAACCAGGTGGTTAGGCACTTCAGCGTAGAAAAGTTTTAAATATAAGTACAGAGGTAACTTTTAACTATATGATCCTCTAACTGTACTGTCTATGTTTTCCTTTTAGCAAACCCAATCTTAACATCAATTCCTAAGCAATCCTCTTGGCATATCTGCTTTGCCCTTCCAAAATGCTGTTTGATTTCTCTCTCTGCTATGTGGTCTTACAAAATATAAATACAAGGGGGCAGCTAGGTGGTGCAGTGAATACAGCACTGGCCCTGAAGTCAGGAGGACCTGAGTTCAAATCTGACCTCAGACCAAACACTTGACACTTACTAGCTGTGTGACCCTGGCAAGTCACTTAACCCCAATTGCCTAAAAACAAAAGACAAAAAAAATATAAATACAAATATTTATAATCTGTCCAGGTCTCTCCAAAGGGACCTCTTTGCTCTGCAGTGCTAGGCTGTCTAGGGGCAAAAAAATGGACACCTTTGCCCAAAATATTATTCATAATTACATGTGGCCTTTTTAATGCTTTGTCTATTTTTCTGGTCTGGTGGCAGAGATTCATTATTTTTTTTTTCTAAATGGTTAAAAACCCCCACAAAACTGAAATCTTCCCAGCTCAACAAACCTAATTATAGCCACTAGGTTCTTACTCCAGCAGAAATAAATGTCTCATCTGCTTTCAGAAAAAAAAGAAAGAAAAAACAAAAAAAATTTTTCTCATTGCTTTTATATGATGAACATATGTTCTATTACCATCTTTCTTATGGGTTCAATAATTTTGCTTTACAATAATGAGAACTTATTATAGAATTGAGAGCTGGATGGGAGTTGAGTAATAAGAAGAGGGACAGGAATAGAGACTGGACTGAGGATTCTGTGGATAGGAAAACTCTGGGATAAGGAAATTCAACCAATGTAAGCCAGTATCTTCTCTCTGCAACATCATGGTCCTCCAGAGTTGCCAAAAGCATTGAGAAGTTCAGCGGTTTGTCTGTGGTCACGTGGCTAATGTCAGGGGTGGGATTTGAACCCAGGCCTTTCTGGCTCTGGCTACTTCAGCAAACTGCCCCAAGAATATTAATAACTGACATTTACAGAACATTTTAAGGATTGCAAAGTGTTTTACATAAGTTGTCTCATTTGATTATCACAATAATCCTAAGAAGTAAGTGTTTTACAGGCATTATTATCACCTACAGGTATTGGTGACCATGAAGCCCAACTTTTTCATTTTACAGATGAGAAAACTGAGGCTCAGAAAGAGAATGTAATTTACTCGAGGTCACACAGCTAAGAAGTAAGAGAGCCAGAATTCAAACCCAGTGATTCTGACTCCAAACCCAATCAGAGCTCTTACCACTACACAATATTCTATTCAATCAAATACAAAAATAGAACAATAAACAATATGTTGTTTGTAGTGTTGGGCAAAGAGAGGTAAACCTAGAGAGAAGAAAGTCCTGGGTTCAAATCCTACCTTCACATTTATTGCTATGTGGCCATAGGCACGTCACTTAAATGCCATGATTTTCAGTTTCCTCCTCTGTAATACGGAGATAATACCTGCTGTGCCTATTTCATATCATTGTGAGGATCAAATGAAATAGAGCAGTGGGTCTCAGGATTCCTTTACACTTTTAAAAATTATAGAGGACCCAACGAGCTTTTGTTTATATGGGTTTATATATCCCGTATTTGTTTACATATCCAGTGGTGTGCTGGTAAGTGTTTAACAACAGCTCTCCACCACCCTCACCCCCTCCCACATCCATGACATCCTTTAACCTTTAATTTGAATGATTAACATTTTTTCTGTCGCTTTCCTAAATCTAGATAATCAACAAATCAATAACTAAAGCCTTGATTTGTAGCATCTGCCAATTTCTAAGATGTAAATGCTAACACTGAAAATTTAACACTCAGCTCTCATGGACCACTATAAGCTGGTGCTATCATATCCCTGGCTATATTTATCAATGGCTACTAGATTAGAAATTAAAACACCATTATAATGTTTTAATGTTTTCATTATATATTATTAAGAAAATTATTATGACCTTATAAATCCCTGAAATGGCTTTAGGCACTCCTACTACACTTTGAGAACTGTTAAAATAAAGTATATAAAATGCTTTGTAATCCTCAAAGTGCTATGTAAATGCATACTATTATTATTATTATTGTCGTTGTTATTATTATTATTGCTATTGTTACTGATATTACCAGTAGCACCAGCAGCTTATGTCACCATAACATTTACAACAGTATAAAAGGGAGCTCTTGGGTATCTGGGAGTTTTAGGAATTCAGTTGTTTTTGTCAGGGAGTACCAATGTGTCTGGGGGAGCTAAGTGGCTCAATGTATAGCGTACTTGGCCTAGACTCAGGAAGACTCATCTTCCTGAGTTCAAATCTGGCCTCAGACACTTGCTAGCTGTGTGACCCTGGGCAAGTCACTTAACTCTGTTTGCCTCAGTTTCCTCATCTGTAAAATGAGCTGGAGAAGGAAATGGCAAACCATAACAGTATCTTTGCCAAGAAAACCCCAGATGGGATCATGAAAAGTTGGACACGACTGAAATATAACATAATGTATAACATTATATAATTATAACATTTATGTAAACATAAACAACATACAGCATTTTAACATTTGAAAAGCACAGGATGTACATTATCTCACTTGTTCCACATAAGGACCCTGTAAGGTAAATACTATTATCTTGGTTTTACAGGTAAAGGAACTGAGGTTCAAAGAGGTTATTAAATGATTTGCCTAGGGTCATAAAGCTATTAAGTGTCTGAATACTGCTAGACTTTTTTTCCTCCTTTTTTTTGGGGGGGGAGGGGAAAAGAAGAAAACAGAAGAAATAAAATTTGAATAAACTGTTACCATAAAACTCTGATCCTGTTTTTTCATGGTGTCCTCCATTACACTTTGTAACTGAGTGCAGAGGGTCTGTGTTTCCATTACCAATTCTTCACTAAAGAAAATAAAGAGGTTGTTAGAAAACTGACAGAATTAAAACATTGATAACAGAATTTACTGTTCATAACATGCTGAAATGTTTGACCCTATTTAAAAATGTGCTGGACGAGTCTTTAACCAGAGACAGATGACAGCATTTAATGAGAACACAAAATGCATTATTGGGGACATAGCTGACAGGTACTTTTATTCTTCTTGTTAAAAGTCCAGAAAGTAAAAATTCAGACATGTTAAATATTTTAAAAGATAAGGAGCGAGATCCCTAGCTAATTTAAAAGTTAGAAGAATCTATTTGACATTTAACTAGCAAAACTTGTGCTAAAGTTCAGTTCCCATAGCAATGAGGGGCTATCAATTGAAACTTTAAATCTCTATTTTGGGATATACTGGGGGTAGGGGAAGGGGCATAAAAGTCCACACTGGCCCAATAGATAAGTGGTTGAAGGGTTGAAGAAATGTAAATGACCAATAATAATGTGAAAAAAAATGCTGTAAATCTCTAATAGTAAGAGAAAATACAAATGAAAACAACTGAGATTTCACTTGGTACTCATCAAATTGGCAAATATGACAAAAGACAAAAATAGTCAATGTTGGATGGGTTTTTTATGAATACAAGCATACTAATACACCTGTGAGTTGGTCCTCCCATTATGGAAAACGAGTTGGAATTATGCTAGAAAATTGACTAAACTGTTTATACTTTTTGACTCAGTAATACTACTACTGTTATATACCCAAAAAAGGTTATAGACAGACAGGAAGGTATTTTATGTACAAAAATATTTATAGATGTACCTTTTTTCATACCAAAAAAAGGAAAATCAAGACCTCTAGAATCCTTTCCAACTCTTAATCCATTTTTCTTTTGTATCCCCAGTAGTAAGCCAAGTCCCTTGCACTAAACATCTAATATATGCCTATTGAATTAAGATGGTCAAACCAATTCATGAAGTTATCTACCAGGTGTGGACAAGTTATACTGGTTATGGGGGAACCCACACTGGTTAAATCAAAGATCTTTGAAGTATTACAGTTAATCAATGAAATTTAGTCCCATACTTGCCAATATTTAAGGAGAATTATAAAAAAAATAACTTTTTGTCTAATCTATATGTTTCAAAAGAAGACATAAGTCAACTGTTTAGATAGTTGCTTGTGATTTAGTGGAAAGCAACTTTTGGAAAAATTATTTCTATTAGATTCTATTCGCCTTAGAATGTCAAATATGACAGAGGCTTTAGGTGTTTATCTAGTCCAGGGATGGGGAATCCTCTAGGTCCTCAAGTGTGGCCCTTTGACGGAATCCAAACTTGGATTTGTTCTGTGAAGTTTGGATTCCGTCAAAGGGCTGCACTTGAGGACCTAGAGGGACACATGTGGCCTCAAGGCCGTAGGTTCCCCACCTCTGACCTAGTCCAACCCTATTTTCAGATAGGGAAATTGACATTCCAAGAAGTTAAGTGAATTATTCAAGGATCATGGCTGCCTAGTGAATGAACTTGAATCTAGGTCTTTTGACATCCAGGACAGTATACCACACTGTGTCCTTGAGCTCAGTCTTTGTGTTATAAAGGGACACAAGACCCTATCAAAGAAGTACCACAAAGGGAAAGGAAAGAACAAAATAATGCCAAACTTCTTCCCAACTGGCTCCAGATGCACACGTTGTTGTCTGGAGTCATTTTTCTGGGATTTTGAAAGATGGTCATAGGATAACAAATCTAAAGCTACAAGGGACCTTGGATCAACCAACTGCCTCCTGGACATTTTTTTTAATTGATTTTTTTTTTTGGTGAGGCAATCGGGGTTAAGTGACTTGCCCAAGGTCACACAGCTAGTAATTGTCAAGTGTCTGAGGCCAGATTTGAACTCAGGTCCTCCTGACTCCAAGGCCGGAGCTTTACCCACTGCACCAAGAATATGCTCTTTCTATAACCATGATGATGATGATGATGACATAATTGTCATCACTGACTTCATGGAGTTTAAATTTAGCTGGGGACATACCATCTAAATTTAGAAATAACAAAGATCAAGCAGCATGCGATAAGTGTTAAATGAGAGAAGGTATGGGTCCTGAGAGAGAAAGGCAGAGAGAGAGAGACAGAGAGAGACAGAGAGAGAGAGAGAGACAGAGACAGAGACAGAGAGAGACAGAGACCGAGCGAGCATTCTGGGTTAGGATGACATCTGGAAAGGAAGTGGGACTCAGTGCCCTGAGTTTGGAAGGCTGAGCAGTATTCAGAAAAGGCAGAGTAGGCATTTCCAGGTGGGGAGGGTACCAGTATACCAGGTGTGGAGGTGAAACAAAGTTTTGGAGGTGGAATGCCTTCTGAATATTTTGGGGGCAATGAGTAGAATAAATAAACATGAAAGCAGCAGAATGTAGTGGAAAGGGCCCAGGGCTTGGAGCTGGCCACTTAAGGTTGAATTTGGGTTCTCACAGGTACTACTTCAGTGATGTTGGGCAAATCTCTTTGACTTGGATTCCGGACATCTATAAAATGAAGGAGATGGACCAGATGACCTCTAAAGTTCCTTCCAACTCTAAATAACTATGATTCCATGAAAATGTAATAGAAGTTGGAGTTGGGAGGAGAGGGAGGCTGGAGCCGGATTATAGAATGTTTTGAATGTCAGAACTTTGCCCTAGATCAAAGGGGCCTTTTAGAAAGATTATTCTGTGGTTGCACATATTTAACCTGTATCAAACTGCTTACTATCTTAGGAAGGGGGGAAAGGAGGGAGGGAGGGAGAAAATTTGGAACGCAAAATTTTAGAAAAAGATGAAGGTTACTGGAAAAAATAAAATACCATTTTTACAAAAAGATTATTTTGAGACTGGTGTGCAGGATCAATAGGAAAGGCAATACCCCCAATAACAACAGTTAACATTTATGTGGCTGTTTAAGGTTTACTAAGCAGTCTGCCATTATTATTTCATTTGATCCTCACAATAACCCTGGGAGCTAGATGCTATTATTATCCTCATTTTACAGATGAGAAACTGGGGCTGACAGAGGTTAAGTAACTTGCCCAGAGTTACTCAGCTAGTTAGAGTCTGAGGCAGGTTTCGAACTTGGGACTTTCTGATTCCAAATTGAACACTACCCAATATTCCACCTGAGTCTAGAACCATGCAGGAGGTTATTACAATACTCCAGATATGAAGTGATAAGGACCTTGAGTAAGATGGTGACAGTGAGGATAAAAAAGGAAAGTGTGAAAGCAAGAGACATTATGGTGACTGATGGGATGCAAGGAAAGAGGGAATTCAAAGAAGGCTCCCGTATGTTATTTCCAAGTGAGCTTAGAATATCAGTAGTACTGAGAGAAGTTGCAGGGAGCTAGTTTTAGGGGAAGTGGGAAGGAAGATGACTGACTATTAATCATTCAATCAATGTGTATTTATTGAGAGCCATCCATGCGTCCATGCTATGGAGGAAAGACATGGAAGCCAAGATGGGGTTTGTGACTTCAAGTAACTTACACTCAAGTTGAGAGATACAAAACTGATATTATATCAATAATAAACCTAAGTTCTTACTCTCAAGGCTTCCCCAAGCCCACTTGGATGTGACATTTGGTAGCACAGAATCTTGGAGTTGGAAGGAAGCCCAGAGGCCATCTAATGCAACCCATACCTGAACAGGAATTCCCTGTACAGTGTCCCCAGCATGGGCTGACCTACGTGGTGGCTGACTTACCTTTTCTTGATTGACTCAGGTAAGCTGTAGGGAGCTGCGGGAGGTTGAGATAACAATTGGGAAGGATTACTAAGACGAGATGCATTCATGCTATCTGGACTCCCACTCACCGGACCTCGTACCTTGCTCTGAAGACAAAAAAAAAATTAACAGAAAACTTTGGAGTAAAGAACAGAATGAAATGATCACCCTTCCCCCACTCCCAGAAGAAAAGTCACTAATTATTCTTTTGGAAAAGATGTCAGACGTGTTGATTCTTGATCACACCAGTTTGGATTTCTGCCCAGTGTTTACATGACAAAATTTCAAAGATTGGGTTCCAAAGACATCAAATCTTTTGCACCTTTCTCCTGGGCATTATTTCATCATTCCTAATCTTTATCTTATCAATGAAAGGTAAGAAAGGGCAGGTATTTTCCACTTGCCAAAGGGGAATCTTGAGGAACAAAGAGGAGCGATTTGCCCGAGTGGTAGAGCAGGGACAGTAAAATATTGATTCCCAGAGAAAGGGCCATGGTCACACAACCTCACACTCTCAAGTTCTGAACGACTGCTTTTAGATCTAAAAAATGCGCACACACACACACACACACACACACACACACACACACACACATGCACTCATATAATTAAGATCACCTTCCAGCTGTTTCTTTGAATTAGAATTGAATATTCACATCCACTTTTGGAATAATGGTAAAAAATACTTACAGGACCACATACATATTATATATAGCTGACATTCTTGAATACTGTCTTACTTTGTCTTGGAATTCTAACCCTAAAGTCTGCTTGAATTAGGTTAATCAGATATACATGCTTCCCAGATTCCCCCTCTAAATATGTATTTCTCCTTCCATTACGCTCCCCTATTCAGTCTCTTAATTAGTTAGGAGTTACTGTCATTGAGGAATTATTGATTTACGCTGTTATTCATAGCACTGTGTCAGATACTTGTTGACTAAAGGACTGGCCTCAAGGTCTACTCCATCCCATTTTCTTGTTTAGAAAACATATCTATGAGGCTCATTAGGAACTCTTACGTCTGTTGGTTCCTAAGCCCTAAAGGAGAAGGATTCTGATGATTAGGGACAATTCAAGTGAACGAAGATTACAAGATCCAAAGCGTAACTAGAGTGGTATGCAGGAGTCAAGTCTAAGCTCTCCAGAGTAAATAAATCCATAGCATTAGCCAGGAGTCATAAAACAGAGCCCAGAATAGTGGCCCAAAGCCAGGGAGGGGGATGTGTCATGTTGGGAAAAGTACATACAGGGTATGGAGAGAACTGTACCAGGCACTGCCAAGCAACAGGTTGTCCCACATACATCTCCAGCTGAGATAGCATCCTTTAATAGAAATGGGGTGTTATTTATGTCCCCTCCTCATTCAGTTGGATCTGTGTTACGTAGGCTCAGATACAATATCTGGAGTATTTCCCTGGAATTTAAGGCTATGACTTAGTAGCATAGTATTGAAGGAAGGCCTCTATCAACTCTCCCGGGGCCTAGGATGCTGCCGGTTTATTAGGTACCAGAGGCAATCCTATCAACTTCAGGTATGTATACTTCCTGTCTATCCACAATCATGAGTGGCTGTGTCATCTTCAAATCTGATAAACATTCTACCTATGCCTTTAATCTAAGTTAATAACAATAACAACAACAACAACAACAACAATAATAATAATGATAGCAATGTTACATGGCATGAAGTCTAGCACAGATCCCTGGGGCATTCTACTGGGGAACTGTCAAGTTGACATCAATCCATCAGTGACTACTGTTTGGGTTCCAGTCATTGAACCAGTTCTGAATTCAACTTACCATATTACCATCATCCCTGAACATCTTTTTTCCACAAGAGTAGCATGAGAAATATATCATCTGACATACTGTTCAAGGGTCCAATCCTACAGTCTTTGTATTCATTTCATCATGGGGTGATGTGTCATGGAAAGGTGAGCTTTTCCTTGGGGAGCCATTAATAGAGTAGTCCAGCAAAGAAAGCTAGTCAGGAGAACCCAATAGAGGTTATGGAAAGGAGAGGCCATGAATCGGAAAAATGTCTTTCAGGAACAAGTGGAGACACTTGGTAGTGGCAGAAGTTCCAGCAGAGAGGATACTGTGCTGCCTTAGTCGAGGTATATTCCACCAGAATGGGGTTGTAACTCTGAGATGGGGGCAGGTCTATGACAGAGACTAATGTTATTGTCCTTCAGGGACAGAAGGGAGTTAGCAAGGGCAGTAGCAATTCTGCTAGCTTCCCCAAAGACTTCTTGGCCTGGTCACCTCCCACACAGCTCTGGTTATATCGGTTGATCTCATATCATGGGCAACATTATGTAAGGTTTTGAACAGGCCTACGTGGCCTGGCACCAGGATATCATAGCAGCAGCAGAGACCTGTCCATCTAATTTCACATGAGGCAGCCAGAGGAATGTATAGGCATGAACAGAGGTACAAAAGACCATCTGAGACTGACTTTCCTTTGGGAAAGGGATTGCGTCAACTAAAGAGCACAGATAGCTGAACCAGGATAGAAGCACCTTGTGCCTGATGCTGGTATATCAGATATAGTCAGTCCAGTCAAGAATGAGTAGCAGCAAGGTCAACAGGAGGGCCTGTTGGTATGGCTGATCCACTATGTACCCAGATTCTGATTTTTCTCATGGTCCATATGCTTCCTGGATTTGATAGTACAGGACAATGGTAATGCAGAAGTTAAGTCTATTAAAAATAATATCCAGCACTTACGACATTTGCTGAGTTAATAAGTAATCTGAAAAGGATTCGGGGTGTGGATAATGATGACGTACCATACTCCTCAAGATGGTGATTCCATAATTCAAATATGGCTTTAACTGTGAGTATTTCCTTTTCCTGGGCAGTTAGGTGGATAGAGTGCTGGGCCTGAAATCAGGGAGACTCATCTTCTTGAGTTCAAATTCAGCCTCCTAGGCAAGTCTCTTAACCCTGTTTGCCTCAGTTTCCTCACCTGTAAAATGACCTGGGGAAGGAAATGGCAAACCACTCCAGTGGTCTTTGCCAAGAAAACCCCAAATGGGGTTTTAGTTGGACACAACTAAAAAATAAGTGAACAGCAAAGTTCTTTCTCCCATATGGTAGAGTTCCTATCCCCACTGCCCCTGACCTGTGGTGGACTTGTGAGAGAAGGATACACAGGGTTGGGACATGGGAGAGAAGAGCTCCCACTACAAGTATGGATACATGGGTATCTACAATGAAATTATTTATGACCTTCCACAAAGACCAAGGTAGGAGCTGAGGTAAGCCACTGTCTGAAGGAGATGAATGTGCCTTCTGCCTCTAGTGCCCCATGGAATGTCTTGGGACATTTTGTCAGGTCTGTGAGTGTAGGAACTTGTGGATAAAGCAATAGTAAAATCCTACAAAGCCAGGGAGACTCTTCAGATCTTTTGCCGATGTAGGGATTTCCCACTATAGCAGAATGGTGTTCCTTTCATCACTTAACTATATCCAGATCAAACTGTATGTCCCCCAGGGATCTGTGCTTTGCTGGATTTATGATCTCATCCACATGTAGGGTATTCCTGCCAACAATAAAGATTTCAGTCCATCCATGCCCTCATATTCTGTGCAACTTGTGATTGTGTGTTCCCATAAATCCAGCACAGGGGGTGCCCAACAGTTACAAGGCAGAACTGACTTAGGGCAAGGGTAGACTGGTAGATACTTCCAGCTAGCTAAACCTTCTGAGATTTGATGAATCAGGGCAGGGGAATTCCACAAGTTCTGGCTTAGGAGCTTCCATATTCTATCAACAGTTGGCATATGCATGGCTTTTTAAGGTTTGTAGAGTGCTTTACATATATTAGCTCATTCAATCCTCCCAACAATACTATAAGGTAGGTGCTATTATTATCTCTATTTTGTAGATGAGGAAACTGAGGCAGACAGAGGTTAAGTGACTTGTTCAGGGTCCCATAGCTAGGAAGTATCTGAGGCAGGATTTGAACTCAGGTCTTCCTGACTCAAAATCCAGTACTTATGGTTCCTTCCTTTGTCCACGCCTGAGCTGGCAAAACTGGGATGGCAATTTTCTTCAGATGGAGTGTCAAAAATTTCCTTGTATTCCTGGAGGGAATTTTCCTGTATGAGTCTGTTTCACGTGAGGGAGGTGGTAGGCCAGCAGGAAACTGAGGCCTGCCAACTGGGATATGGCAAAGGTGATATGGCCCCAGGCTGGAATTCCCCAGGAAAGGAGGTTCAGCATTACCATCATCAACATCATTATCATAAATATAGTACATTAAGGTTTAGAAAACCATTTACTCACAGCAAACTTATGAGAAATGAAAAAAAAAATGGTATGGCAGGGGCAATTGATACTACCTGCTTTTAGAGGTAACAGCTGGACGAGACCCTTACAAAAGTGATTACGTTCTAGGAAGCTCCCAAAGCCATTCATTTGCTTCCAACCTGGCCTTAAAAATTAAGCCAGGCATGCTGGAGCATACCTGCAGTCTCTGCTTCTGGGGAAGTTGAGGCTGGCGAATTTCTTGAACTAGAGGGTACTGAGCTGTAGGGGGTTAAATCAATCAAGTGTCTATACTATGTTTGGCATTAATATGGTGAACTCCAAAAGAGGTGCTAACTGGCCCATGTCAGAAAATGGAAGAGGGCAAAGCTGTGCTGATCAGAATGGGAACGGGCCCAGGGAAAGCCCCTGAACTTTCAGGCTAGGTGAGATAGGAAGACTTAGTCTTTTACAGAGAAAAGAAAAGAAATAAAGTAGGAAAGGAAGGAAGGAAGGAAAGAAGGAAAGAAGGAAGGAAGGAAAGAGGGAAGGAGAGATGGAAAGAAGGAAGGAAGGAAAAGAAAAAACTCAGGGTTGTGGAACTGATGGTTTGAAGAGAAATCAGCAGCTCTGCAATTATCTGAGTCAGGATAATGAGGAGGGATTATTTCAGGGTTTTGGGGTTTTTTTTGGCATGATAGAAAATTGGGATGAGGCTGATAGATGTAGGTAATTAAAGAGCAATGAACAGGTCTGGAGAAAGAGAGAACACATGCCTGGCCCATAATAGATGCTTAATAAATACTTCTTAATTGATTGACTGAATGAGGGTTTTTCAACTGAGCTAGGGGCCTCTTCTGGTAGCAATGGGCCAGCTGGGCGGCCTCCTTGTCAGCTTCATTGTTCTGATGTTCTGATGTGGGTCCAGACAGCACTTCCTACTGCTACTGTTGGTGCCATCCCACTTAGAGCTCGTATGAAGGCATGTGGTCATAAAACTGAGAGGAAGGCCAGTGAGGAGAATGATAGGAATCAAACTCATATACATTAACAAAAAAAGCTCCTTCCTCTGCTCTTCCCCACAGAGGGGGAAAAATAGACCAGGGATTGAAAGGATTTGATCATAGGATGGAGGGATGCAATGAGCATTTAATTAAACGCTTACTATGTGCCAGGCACTGTGCTAAGTGCTTTACAAATATTATCTCATTTGATCCTCACAACAATCCTGGGAGGTGGAATTTGGAAATTTAGAGCTGGAAGGAAGCTCAGAAGCCCTGTAGTACAATGCCTCCATTTCACAGATGAGGAAACCGAGACCTAGAGAGACTGAGTGATTTGCCCAAGGTCACACAGCCAGTAAGTGGCAGAAGCAGGATTTGATTCCAGGGTCAGTACCAAGGTGGCTAATTAACCTCACTCACACAAGCTATCTTCAGCAGATTCCACAGTTCCTTTTGTCTCTTCTCCTGAAGCTGCACGACTGTCTTCTCATCCTCATTCATTAAGTTTACTACTTCTTCCACTTGAGGTAACAATTCCAGGGCCTTCTGCTTGCAAACCATAGTTTTACTGCAAGGAAAATGAAACAGTGCTAATGGCTTCATTAGTATAATTATTTTGGGATCACAAAAAAGAAGGGAAAGGGAAAGCCACTAGTTATTTAGGGGCGGCCATTTGGACGGCTAATCAGCAACTGCTAACGTGTCTTTAAAGTGCCTCACCTCACTTCCTCCTGGAGTCTCTCCAGATTCCTTCTCTTTGCCTCCTGTATTGCTAGGCTGAGAAACCTTCACCCCATGCCCTCCTCTCCTGATTGGTGACTGTGTTCCTGGGACCATTACATTAGGAAGGAACAAGCCACACCTTGCTTCAATCAAATTGGGATGCTTTCCTGGACTTCTCCTGACCTCCACGTTGCCCTGAGTGGGTGTTTCCTTTCCCCCCTGGATTTCAAGCTCCCCGGTTTGTATTGTCTTCCTACAGAGGAATGTGTCCTTCAGGGTGGAGTGCGGCTGGCTTGTGTTTGTGTCTCCAGCACTTAGCACAATGCCTGGCACAGAAGAAGTGCTTAACATAAGCTTGATTGAACTCACTCACTTATTCACTTACTCTTTCTGTTTGTCTGCCTATCTACCTATTATCTATCCTTCTATCTATGTATCTATCTGTCTTTTCTGTTCTCTATCTATCTATCCCTTTTCCTTCCTGCCTTCCTATTATTTATATATCCTTCTATCTTCTATCTATATATTATCTATCTATCCTTTCTCTCTTCCTGCCTTCCTATCTATTATCTCTTTCTCTTCTTTCCTACCTTCTTATCTATCCATCCATCCATCTATCTGTCCTTCATGTTATCTATCATCTATCTATCCCTTCTTGCCTTTCTATTATCTATCCATCCATCATCTGTCATCTATCTATTCCTTCCTACCTTTTATCTATCTATCTATCTATCTATCTATCTATCTATCTATCTATCTATCTATCCCTTCTTGCCTTTCTATTATTCTATCCATCCATCTCTCCCTCCTTCCCTCTCTATCCATCTAATTATCTATCCCTACTGAGTTTCAGTTAGCTGAGTCCTCCTGGCATGCTGTATTGTATTCTGATGGGCAATCTGGGCTGCTCTCCCCAAAACAAGAAGAAAAGTACCCCATGCTCTCTCCCCTTTGGCCCTGCTTCCTGGCCATCCCACCCTCTGCCCCGTTCACAGTGGCGCAAGGTTATCAATACCTGAGCTGCATATAAATGGCTCGTACTTTCTTCTCGAAACTCTGGATGGCCTGAAGGAGTAGCCGTACCATTTCCTGACTGTCACCATCAGTTCGCTGGTCTAGAAAGAGGAGAGAATGAGACATTTTTCCAATGTGGCAAACAAGACATTCCAGGATCTCACATTATTAGCTGGAATGGAACCCAAATGAATCTTTAAAGCCCCTTTTACCTCTTGGTTTTTCCCGTAATCGCCGATAAAGCTCTCTTGCTTGTTCTTCTCTGAAATATAAGAACAAAAAATTCTGCTCATGATCCAAATTTCAAATCATTAGAAAAAAAAACACAATTCATCCTTGCTGATTAAAGTTCCTCCAAACTTCCCTATTTTATTGACTTGCACTGAGCTCTACTAAAACCTTCAGATCTTTTTCTGAACTGTTGTCTAAATATGCTTGCTTCACCTTGTACTTGTGACATTAGATTTTTATATTGCAGTATAAGAATTTACACTTATTCCTATTAAACTTCATTTGTGGGCTAAATGATCTGCCTTGTCGACATCTTTTTCAAGTCAGAGCACTGGGCCTGGAGTCATGAAGACCTAGTTCAAATCCAGTCTCAGACACTTCCTAGCTGTGTGACTTTGGGCAAGTCATTAACCTGCCTCTGCCTTAGTTTCTTCAACTTAGTTTCTTCTTGAGGATCAAATGAGATATTTGTAAAGTAGTTAGCACAGTCTCTGGCACACAGTAGGCACTCAAGAAATGCTTGCTTCCTTCCTTCCTGAGTCTGTCATCCAGGGGGTTAACTATCCCTCTTTTAGCTTTGTGTCACTGGAAAATTTTTGATTAGTAAGCCATCTAATAAAAATGTTAAACAGCATCACAGCCAAGCATAGATCCCTGGAGCACTCCACCAGAGCCCTCCTGTTAGGCTGACATCAAATTATTAATGAGTGACTACTCTTTGGGCCTAGCCAATCAACCAATTCTGAATCCACCTGTCACCCACCTGTGTCCATCTTTTCCATAAGAAAGGCACGAGAGGCTTCATCATATGTTTTGCTAAAATCCAGCTAAAAACTCCCCTGCCCTGCCAGCTTAGCCTGGCATGACCTGTTCTCGATGGAGTCTTGCTGCCTCATGGTGACTGCTTCTTCCCTTTCTAAATGTTCACGCACCAACCCCTTTAATAATACATTCTAGAACCTTGCCAGGAATTGAAGTTAAACTACTTTAGTCCCCTCTCTTCCTATTTTGGAAAATCAGGACAACCTTAGTGTTTCTCCATTCCTGGAGCTCTTCTCTCATTCTCTGGGAACACTCAGAGATCATTTATGGTGACAATCACATGTATCCATTCTCTTAACTGCTCTAGGATGTAGTTCTCTGGGCCTGGTAACTTAAACTCTCTATGAGTTTTCTCTATCACCCCCCTATTATATGAATAAATTTTGGCTGTCACCTCCCTATTATTTGAATGAATTTTGTTTATCACCTCCCTATTATTTGAATGAATTTTGGCTATCACCTCCTATTCTCTGAATGAATTTTGTTTCTCACCTCTCTATTACCTGAATGAATTTTGGCTATCACCTCCCCTCTTTTGCTTTACTCTCTCTAGTCCAAAGATCATTCTCCTTAGCAGAGAAAACAGAAACAAAAGACTTGTGTAATTCTGTTTTTTCATCATCACTGGTTATTATTATCGTTCCCTCTACCCCAAGCAGAGAGTCCTATCTCTTCTCTGGTCCTCTTCTTTCCTCTAATACAAATAAAAAGACACAATCCCTTTTTGTCTTTTTTTTTGGGTCCAAATACCTTTTTCTAATCAAAGGGCCACTACTCTACTTTGGACCCTTGTTGCCTCCCACCTAAAATATTGTTGTGGCCTCATAACTGGTCTCTCCTTTCTTTCTCCAACCTGACCTCCCCAGCACTGCTACAATGATCTTCCTAAGGTAAAGCAACAGGGCCTAGTGAAGGGATGTCAAACATGGAGGCCAGCCCACAACACTCCTGATGATGGCCTGAACCAGATTAAATGAGGTAGTATTTGTAAAGCACTTAATAAACCTTAAAGCTCTATCTAAATGCTACCTATTATTATTATGACCCTCCCTCCCATCCCTAGCTCCGGCTGCACAAAATTGCTCTTCACAGTTGACAGGCTAATACTTACAGATCGTCCAAAGTTCCCCCTTGTTTCCGACTCATTGGGCTCCTCTGTAGGTCCACAATATCTGTCTGCAGTGCCATCATCTGTTCCACCAGATGTTTCACATCTGTCTCCTGATAAAAATAGTGAGTGCTAAGGTGAATAGAAGCACGAGGGGCAACCTGAGGTACAGCACTGAAACTATCAAAACTTAGCAAAAAAAAAAATGAAAGTGATCATAGCCTTGAACTGAATGACACTGAGTGACTGGATGGAGTCTCAGGACATTAATAATTCCTAAGTTTTCTTAATCATTTTAGGTCCCAGAAATCTATTTTAAGATACTATGACTTTTTAGGACAGCTAGGTGGTGCAGTAGATAGAGCTTTGGGCCCAGAGTCAGGAAGACATGAGTTCAAATTTGACCTCAGACACTTACTAGCTGTGTGACCCTAGGTAATTCACTTAACCCTACTTGCCTCAGTTTCCTCATCTGGAGAAGAAAATGGTAAACCAGTATCTTTGTCAAGAAAACCCCAGATGGGATCATGAAGAGTTGGACACAACTGAAACAATTCAACAACAACATGACCTCTTAGGAGGCACTGACTCCTGTAACTATGAATTATATATGTAGGCACAGTATTCACCTGCCTCGGAATCCATCATAGTGGCACCCATGCCCTGCTACACATCCTATCATTGTCATTCTGCAGATAAGGAAATTAAGGCAGAGAAGTTTGAACTTACTTGGCCAGGGTCACATAGAAAATCAATAGAAAGGCTTGGAAAAGAAATCACAACCCTGAGTTTTCATTCACAGGTAGAAGCAGGGGGTGGAGGGGAGAGAGTAGAGGAGTCAGAGGCCTGAGTTTTTGAGTCCTAGGTACCCCATGCTGGACAAAGTGCTTCTCTGGGCCCTCATCTGTCAAAAGCAGATGATAATTGTACTATGTATCTCACAGGGCTGTTGTGAAAGAGCATTTTTGGGGGTCATGATTTAATTTTTCCTTTTAATCAATGCCTATTAAAAAAAACAGCAGTCATTTGCAGAGATAAACCACCCCCTCATCAAACTCTGATTTGTAAAAAATGAAAAAGAGCTAAGTGTAACTGACTGACAAAGCAACCACATCCAACAATGTATACTACATTTCACATCCCTAGTTCTCCACCTCTTTTCCTGAGAGAAGGGATGTGCATTGTTATATCCTTTATTCTCCAGAACCAAGATCAATCCTTGCAACCAATCTGAATTGAAAAAGTATTTTATAAAGTACAAAGTGTTTTAGAAATAGACATTGCTTTAGTGGCATGGTTTCCTGCTCAGTCTCTCTTTGCTTTCAAAATCTGTCTTCATTAGTGACATAAATGACTGCTGAAATGAACTGAACTGGGTCCTTGTGCCACTCACTTCCTTTTTTTTTGGTTTTATCCTCCCATGGGAATTGGGCAGGTAGGTGGTACAGTGGGTAGAGTGTTGGACCTGGAGTCAGGAAGATCTGAGTTCAAATCCAACCCCAGGCACTTGCGAGCTGTATGACCCTAGAAAAGTCACTTAAACTTTGTCTGCTTCTGTTTCTCCAACTGTAAAATGGGGTTGATAATACTAGCACCTATCTCCCAGGGTTGTTGTAAGGATTGAATGAGAGAATAATTGTAAAGTGCTAAGCAGAGTGTCTGGCACATAGGAGGTGCTATATAAATGTTAGCTATTATTATTATTATTATTATTAATATCAGAATGGATGCAGTAATAGCACCTACCCCACCAGGTTGTTGTGAGGAGCAAATGAGATAATATTTGTGCCTGGCACACAGCAGATGCAGTATTATTAGGTGTTAACTATTATTATTATTATTATTATTAAGTAAAATGTCTAGATGTAGTTCTGTTTATTAGCTTCCCCAAAGGGAAATCATAACCTGTACTTCTGCTATTTCCAACCCAGACAGCCAAGTGTAGTGTAAACTTCTGGCCACAGTGGGGCCCCCACGGCCTGGGTATCCCATCCTCCCCACTACTCCCCAGCCAAGGTCAAACGGCATGGCAATGAAAACTTGACATTCCCCGGACAATGCCTGCCCAAGCATCTGATGAGAAAGTGGAAAGTGGCCTTGAGAAGCCTCCTCCCTCTGGGTAAGCAATTAAACCTAAAATTAGTGTTCCTACCCGTCCGCAGAGCTCCACAGCCTGCTCCATCTCTCGCCAGGCCAGCAGCAGTTTATCTGACGCTGGAAAAAGAATTAGAGAGAGACAACAAATTCAGTTTTCAGCTGAGAAATGAGGAGGGTTAAAAAAAAAAAGGAAGAGAGAGAAGAGCAAGGATGATCTCTCTGACTGGCTCAGGGCAAAGAGCGACACTCACTGATCCCGAACTCAGTCTGTTCGCTGTATTTCTCCAGGTCAATCTGGATGCTGGTTTTAAAGAAATCCAGCTTAGCCTTCAGCTGCTGAGACATGGATGCCATTAAGTTCTTCATCTTGGAGAGGCTGCTATTATTTCGAAGGAGGTTCATCCTGCAGCAGCCAGGAAGAAAAGAATATTAGCATTCCACCTGCCATGCATCCGGGGTACCAAACTCAAGCCCATCATTCCAGGTGTTTGGATCATCATTTCTTACCAAGAACCACCAGGAAATTTCCTTTTCCTGAACCTCAGCAATGAGTGGGGCAGACCTGGCATGCAGATGAGATGGAGCAAGGTCTTCGGCCCCAAGGGTTAATCATTTAAATTAGGCACATTAAGACAAGGATTGGATGGAGAGGTAGAGAAAACTGCCTCCCTCCTCCTCTTGGTACAGGTAGGGGGCTATGGGTGTAGACGCTGCATATATTGTCAGACCTGATTGATGTGCAGGTTAGTGTTATAAACTCTTTCTTTTTTTATTCCTTGTTACAAGGGATGGATCTCTAGGGGTCAGAGCGGGATTTATTTGGAAATGAAGCATAGAAACAAAAGATAACAATTCATTAAAAAAATTTACCCCCAGGACATAACCAGTGAAAGAACGGATTAGAAGGGTTCCTCCACCACAGTATAGCCATAGCATTTGGTGTACTAAATAGCACTGGTTTTGGACTCAAAAGTCCTGGGTTCGAGTTCTGACTCTTTCACTAACTGCACCACCCCAAGTCAAGTCAGTTCACCTACTGAGCTCTCTACCCCACAGGGTGGATGTGGGAAGTCTTTTGTCAGAGAAATGTCAGTTATCAGCAGCATCCCCCCAAGTCCTAATGATCCCTTGGGTCCTTCTCACACTCCACATTCCGCCCTGACTGTTGTTGTACCCTCTTCTGTATGCTGACCACCCTCTCCTCATCCATTCCGCAGGAAGCTTCCTCACTCTGACCCTGATACCACCCTTTCTCCATCTATCCAAACCACTGTCCCTCTCCTGGCTCCCTTCTGTCCTCTGGTAGGGGGCACCAGGATCTCCTAAATGTGGGAAGAGAGGAGGGGAGGGGAGGGGCTCACATAGCTGCTCTCTGGCCTTGCTGCAGCTGGCTACAGTCTTCCTTCAGGGTCCGGATTGTGTGCCACACCTGACCCCACACTTTCCTCAGCTGGAAAAAAGGGAGATTCCTCTTGGGCTCTTGAACTGGAAACAGAGACACAAACAGCGGTCTAATAGCAAACCCTCCACTGGACTCACGGTCCCCATTGGCTCTCTATACCACACATGAGGCAAGGAATCAAATGCTTTTTGATGTTTTGGGGGTAACTGCTGTTCAGCTTTGGTGCTGTCATTTAGCCGGCCAACTGTTTGGTCCTCATTTTCTCAATGAGACTGCACACTCCTTGAAGGTAGAGATGGTGTCATATACGTCTTTGCATCATATATGTCTTTATTTTTAAAAAAAAAAAGGAATTTGGAGTATGTCTATTTGAGCTCTACAGGTATTTATGGTGGGTCTATCCAGACCCCTAGGGAGCAGGGGGAGCAGAATGCCAATGATTAGGGGCAATTAAAAGATTAAGAGAAGGAGCATGCATGGAAAAGAGGGCATATGGTTCAGGCTGTAATTGGAAACAGTGTTCTTCCTTGTTACCAAAAGGATCAATACAGAAGCAGTGAGGTAGCATGGCAGATAGAGTGTTGAACCTGGAGATGAGAAGACCCAGGTTCAAATCCTGCCTCAGACACTTACTTAACTATATAAACACTTACCTACTCCCAGTCTCAGTTTCCCCATCTGTAAAATGGGATAATGATAGCACCTATCTCACAGAGTTGTTAAGATTTAAATAAGATAACACATGTGAAGTGATTTGCAAACCTTAATGATAACTATATAAATATAAAACCTTAATGATAACTATATAAATATAAATAATTATATAAATGGTAGCTATTATATAGAATCCCCCCGTTAGGCATTTAAAACTCTTCACAACCTGGCCCCTCCTACCCTTCCAATCTCCTTACACTTTATTCTTTTCCATACATTTCACTAACTTGATACATTAACTATTTGCAGTTCTTTGAATATGATAATCCATCTACCAGTGCCATGCTTTTGCACCGGCTGTGCCTTATGCCTTATGAAGAGAATGCTCTCTCTTCCCTGACTTCCCCCAAGAATCAGATCAGTTCCACCTTCTTCAGAAGACCTTTCCTGGTTCCTTCGTCCCTCCTCTCCCTGCTCCAGCTGCCACTGCCTTTCCTATCCTCTCAGAGTATCTTCTACCTCCTCTTTATCTATCTTGAATACATCTACAATTATCCCTTCCACATGGCTACTTTGCCCATCATGGTTTCAACATGTCATGGGTCAGCATAAGAAATTCAATGGGAATTTTGGAGGAGTTTTGCTGAAGTCACAGATGACAATAAGATACTGTAAATGCCTCATAAAAGACAAAAAAAGAATCAGACTTCTTCTGTAGTACAAATGGAGAGCCAAAAAAATTTACACAGATTTCCCAGATCACAGGGCTCCCCCCTAACTCTTAAGATGTGGAAGGGATAATAGTTATTTTCGTATTGTCTTCCCAATTTGACATCGAGCTCCTCAAGGGGAGGGACTGTGTTTGCCTTTCTTTGAATCCCCAGTGCTTAGCGTAATATATACTTGTTGACTGACACAAGATGGAATTTAAGCTACCTGAGGGCAGGGATGGTTTAGTGATTTTTTTTTTGTCTCTGTATCAGAGACAAATTTTTAAGCTTATCTGAAACTACAGGCCCTACAAATATATAGTGTTTGCCTGCTTATAGGAGATGATTAAATGAGTCTTCAAGTATCTAAAAACAGGAGGAGGTGGGGATTGAGAGTATTTGTATACTTTAAAGCTCTCTGGGTATTTGTGATGGATCCCATACCTCTGGGGAGGAAGGTCAGGATGCTGATGAACCATCCAGGAGGGAGGGAGCATGCATGGAGTTAAGGGGATCTGTGGTTTAAGCCCTGATTATAAAACCTCAACACTGAAAGGTCAAAACCAAAGTGGTCAGAGGTAACCACTTATGAGCCTATTATGAGATGGTGATCTGGGTCTAGAGCAACAGAGGGGTTTCCTCACACAGTAAAGCACCCCAAAGGTGCTGTAGATGATAATTTATTTCAAACAAAGCCTGTGCATTCTCTTATGGTAGCAATGGCTTGTTCAGAGACCTCTCCATTGCCAGGAGCCCAGACAAAATGCTCTGACCAGGTCACCACATGCCTTTGGAAGAACCCTATGAGTATTAATTCAGCAGCTTCTTTCAAGTCCTTTTTCTGAGATGGCAATCTCCTTACTGTTTTACTTATAGACCACCCTTTTCCCATCCCAAGAGCTAGTGGCTGGCCCTGAGTATAACAGAAACTAATTGTCCTGTTTTAAGGCCCTACCCTCATCACTACAAACTCATCTCACAGATTCTGCCTTAATGAAAACAACTAATGATTTAGATCAAGAAATTGTTCTTACGGATACAGCTGACACTTTCTGGTGGGGGCCTCGGAGAGATCTGAGTCTCATAGGTGATTTTTCTGTTGTCAAAGAGAAAAATGAGATCCATGTCCAATATTCGGTCATCATTTAGCTGCAAAAGGAAAAGAACAAGATGAGATATTCTTGAATGAAATACCCCTTACCTTCATGTAATAAGGCTTACATGGCAGTGAGTTTTCTAATGACCACCTATGTGGCCTTTGGACACCTCTGAACACTATAATCTTTATCCAATATATAGTATCCATTTATCTTTCATGAAGCCTTTTCTTGATAACTCTACAACGATTCAGCTCTGCTCCAGACCTTTCTGTTTTTATTGTCTATACCATATGCCTTATTTAAATTCTATTATAGAGGTCCCATGGAAAATCTAGGAGTAAGAAGATTTGGGCTTGAGTCCTGACTATACCCATAATCAGCTATGAGACCTTGGACAAGTAACTTCATCTCTCAAAAAAAAATTGTACCACCTGTCTCCCAAGATTGATGTATTTTACAAGTCTTAAAGTGACCCACAAGAGTAAACTGTTATTACTACTACTATCTCAATCTCTAATTATCTTTAGGGTTTAGCACTTAATTTATACACATTTGTGTTTAATCACTGCTTAAATGCAGAGTGAAGTGAACAGAACCAGGAGATCACTGTATACATTAACAGCAATATTGATCAACTTGGACTTGGCTACTCTGAGCAATACAATGATCCAAGACAGTTCTGAAGGACCCATGATGAATAATGCTATACACCTCTAGAGAGAGAAATGACAAACTGTGAGTACAGATTGAAGTATACGTTTTTCACTTTATTTTTCTTGCTTTTTTTTTTTGGCAACATGGTTTATATGGAAATATATTCTGCATGACTTCACGTGTATAACTCTATCACATTGCTTGCCTTCTCAGTGAGTGGGGGAAAGGCTAGAGGGAGGGAGAGAATTTGGAATTCAAAATTTTTTAAAATGTTAAAAAAAATTTTTTTAAAAATCACTACTTAATATGTATTTATTTTGTTTCCCCAGGTCACTGTGGTCTTTGTGGGTAGGGCTCTTATCTTAGATGTTTTTATTTACAATATAACAGTACAGAACACATAATAAGTGCTTAACAAGACATTTTTAGTTGACCAATTACTTTAGAAGAATAAAGCCAAGTTGGTAAGAATAATTGCCGGAAGAGCATGGCTGAAAGGTGATAGGACTCGAGAGTTGGAAATCAAAACAAAGTACTTGTGTCTCAAGGAAATCCTGATACGCAAGGTATCTTATCCCAAAACAGAAGAGGAGAGGTATAAATAGCACAAATTCAGTGGGGTGCCTGCCAAATTGGTGACAAATGTGAAGGCGTCTCTAGATCCCCTGGTAAAAATAGTCCTAATGATGATGATGATGATAATGATGAGAAGTGCTGTTTTTTAAAGCCCCCGGGGTATGCTTACCTTGCCATCCACAATACACTGCGTGGCTGGTTTGTCAGAGAACAAAGCCAGGCCAGCCTCCTGCAACAGTTCCTGGTCCTCCTCTGGGATGCCCGTGTCAGCCTGTATCCTAACCTTCAAGCTCTGCAAACTTTCCTTCTCCATGATGGGATAGGTGTGCACGGTGCCAGTTACCATATTCAAGATGTGAACCAGCTACAAGAAGCAGTCAACAGGTGAGGGAAAAGAGCCACAGGACAAAGTCATCCTCTGTTTTCCAACACTGCTGATTTATCAAGTCAGACCCTTCCTCAGTACTCAAATTTTCACCTGCCTTTCACGAGTTGCTAAAACAATGATTCGCCTTAAGAATGTAGAATTTTGGAGTTTGGAAGGATCTCAGAGGTCATCTAACTCAACTCCTCACCTGAGACCTTCCTGACAACATACCCATTTGATGACTTCTTCCAGTAAGAGGAGACAGTCTGGTATAGAAGAACAAGTCCTAAATTTGAAGTCAAAGGACCCAGATTCAATCTGATGTCAGACATTTACTAGCTGTGTGACTCTGGGCAAGTCACTTTGACTCAATTTGCTTTCCCTCATCTATAAAATGGGAATAATAACAACTACCTCACAGGGTTGGTGTGAGACTCAAATGAAATATTTGTAAAAAGCACTTAGCACAGTGCCTGGCACACAGTAGGTGCTACATAAATGCTTATTTCCCCTATTATCCCTTTCCCCCCTTAATCCCCCCAGTGTAAGGAAATTAGACTAGATGATCTAAGTCTGTGTTCCTATGACTTCCCAAGACAGTCCATTTGCTCAAATTTGCCTCAGTTCCTCATCTGTAAAATGAGGACACACCAGAGAAGGAAGTGGTAAACCACTCAAATAACTTTGCCCAGAAAACCTCATGGACAAAAGTCCATGCGGTCACACAGAGTGGGCCACGACTGAACAATAATAATAGCAATTATTACAGAGTTCTTTACCCTGAACCGAAACCTGCCTCTCTATGCCATTTAAATATTAATTCAGTGGATAGAACACTGGGCCTAGAGTCAGGAAGACCTGAGTTCAAATCCAGCCTCAGAGATACTTTCACTCTGTTTGCCTCAGTTTCCTCATCTATAAAATGGGGATAATAACAGCACCTACCTTCCAGGACACATTGTAAGCCCTATTTAAATGTTCACTAGTATTATAATTGTTATTATTCTGCCTCTTTTTAGATGTGACAATCCTTCAGATATTTGAAGATAAGGATCTAGTTTTCCCCAGATTGAAGGCTTCTCCTATCCCTAGGTTATTTATGTGCAGTGTCCTCACCATATTGATTACCCTCCTCTTGTGATCAGGTGGACAGAAGTAAAGTCTGAGTGTGGTGTTATTTCATGTTGTTATGTGTATTCCACCTCATTCTGAGTTTTGGCCCTAGGGTTGCCCAAACACTCCTCCTCCTCCTCAGCTTTCATCAGCCTTATCAACTCAAATCAGACAGATGGAGGAAACATGTTTCCTCACTGGTTACCTAGTCCTATGCGATTTCTGATTTTTTCCCATACTTTCTTTCCATTACTTGGTCACAGTAACATCATATAACTTCATCTCCTGATTGCAGAGGAAGCAGACATTTTTCGCTTCGAGGTAACTGAGCTTTTACACTCACCTTTAGGTTCAAGATGTCATCCAGCGCTTTGAAGCAGCCATTCGGGCCATAAGTGGGGTCTGTGCCCCTCTGTCGGGGCTGCCACATTAACATTAACTGCAGCCACTTTTCTAGTCGCTGTACCAGAATACTGAGAGACAGAAAAGGACAAGAAGTAGACAGGAGGAGAAGACACATCCTGGACACCAATCTCATCTTACCTTCATGAAAAAGGGGAAGAGGTTCAGGCCTCACAGGCCTCTCCGACTTATTGGTGCAATGTAGCAACATATGCATAATTGCTGTTTCAATAAATACTTGTTGGACAGATTAATGGATAAATCTAAGAAAGGATGTTATCGCTCCTTACCAACTGAATAGTCTAGGCCCTTATCCCAAAATATCTGTTATGATAACTCCCTAACAGGTCTCCCAACTTCCAATCTTTCCCCACCTCTATTCCATCTTGCACGCTATCCTGAGGCTAATCATCCCAAAACACTGCTTTTATTAAGTGACTCCCTGGCTCAAAAATCTTCAGTGGTTCCCACTGCCTATAGGAGCAAATTCAAACTACTTATCCTGGCATTCTAATGCCCACCAATTATTTACTTTTATTCCGTACTACCATTCTAACACTATCTCTCACTTCACAGAATTTTGGGGCTGGAAAGGCCCTATCCACTCCTGAAATTCGATCTCCTTTATAGCACGCCCATCGAGTGATCATGTAGACTTTGCATGATCCAATGAAGGGAAATCCATCGCCTTCTGAGGCAACCCATTCTTCTCTTGGACATGACATTTTCCTTATATCCAGCCCAAATTTGCCTCACTGAAGCTTCCATCCATTGCTCTAATTCTCACCAATGGAGTCAAGCATATCAAGTCTAATTCATTTTCCCCAAGTCATCCCTTCAAATACTTGTAGACTCTATTATCTCCCCCATGAAGTATTCTATTCTCTAGAGACTGAATATTCTCGGTTCCTTCAACTTCAACTCTTATGATATCAATTTTAGACCCCTGACCATCCAGGTTGCTGTTCTCCAGCTTAGGGGTTCTTAAATCTTTTTTGTGACATGGACCACTTTGGCAGTAGAGTGAAAGCTATGGACCCCTTCTCAGAACAATATTTTTAAATAATTGAAGGACATGCTAAATTTCAGTTAGTGAAGACAAAAATATGTTTATTATTCCCATCCAAGTTCATTGGCTCCCCGAAATCTATCCACGGATACTCAAGGAGGAGAACCCCAGGTTAAGAACCCCTGATGTAGATGTTCTCCACCATACCAGTGTCCTTTCTAAAATGTGGTACCCTGAACCGAACACAATACTGTACTTGGTTTCTTCACATGACTCAATCCCTTTCTCATTCTGCTTATCCTTTTTATTATATATATTGTATACATATATATATATTGTATATTGTATATATCCTTTTTATTGTATATATATAGAGACTAGACTGTCTCTACCTATCCAAATCCCATCCATCTCTGAAGGCTCACCTTGAGTTTCTTCTCAACTCCCACAATGCTTTCCCACAGTACACCTTATAGGTGGGTTTGTTTCAGTGTTTGCTGAGAAGTATCTGTTCTATCAAAATGAAATGTATCTGTACGATCAATATAATATTGCTTACCTTTTCAAGGGGTGGGGGAGGATTGAGAGGAAGGAAGATTTGGAACTCAAATTTTTAAAAAATGAATGTTAAAAATTTTTATACATAATTGGGAAATATTTAATGAAATAACACTTTAAAAAAATTAAATGTATCAATAAGTTTCTTTTAGAAAATGCTTTCTAAGACAGGCATATGAAATATACTGTTAGTGGAATTATGAATTGGTCTAGCCATTCCAGAAAGCAATTTGGAACTGTGCTAATAAGTAACTAAAATGTCTATACCCTTTGATGTAGAGCTCCCAATGCTAGTTACATATATCAAAGACAGAATGAAAGATTACATATATACTAAAATACTTAGAGCAGAGACTTGGAAACAAAGGAGATGCCCATCAGTTGGGAAATGGTTGAAAAAAACTATGATACGTGAAGGTATTGAGAGAATTATGGGAATTATGTGAACCAAACTGACTTCATCTTGTGACTCAATTCTGGATCTAGCTTGGATCTAGCTTTCTATTCAATTATGGGTCTAGTCCAATTTCTGTCTTGTGAGAAAACTTTATTCAATCATAGGAATTGTGAGAAAACTATTTAATTGTTTGAATCTAGCCCTGAATGGCTGGGAAACTGGACCACCTCTACCTGCTTCTTAGAGACCCTTAACTAAGGACCCTAGGTTATGCCAACCAGAAACCCAGTTAGATCCAAAGATTGATGCAAGGAGTTTTCTCACAATTATGCATCTCAAGCAACACATGTGTCTTATCTGAAAACTGGCCCTGTGCTGGTCAGTTACTGTTTCCCTGTTCCTTTGCTTGAGTACAGACATGTGGAGGGGAGTGGGACTCTTTTTCTGATTTCAGGGAATTGTACCTGTTCGCTCTCCCCCTTCCAATTCAGAAAGTCCCTAATCTTTCCTCCAATTAGAAATCAGATTACCTAATCTTTTATCCTGGTTGATTGTTTTCTTTTAATGCATCAAATCTGTCTGCCCCTGTATTTGGGGTCCAGTGCCAAGCTGAGGAGGCCCGGTCCTGATTAAGAAATGTACTGCTTAAGAAATCGGTACATTCAAAAGCTTGAACCTTTATTTCCTCAGTTATCTGAGGTTTCACCCACCACAGTAATGGAAAATTTACTGCACCATAAGAAACAATCACTATAAAGAATACAGAGAAACAAAGAACGACTTTTAGGAATCAGTGCCAAGGGAAATAAGTTGAGGCGATAAAACAACATACACAAAGACGACAAAAATGGAAAAGAGAAGGAAAACTGAACACTGTGGACTTATAATGACTAAGCATGGTCTCAAAAAAGAAATAAAACATATGTTTCCTTCTCTTCTTTGCAGAGGTGGGTGATTACAGGTGTAGAATAATGTATATATGTTCTGGCTTGGTTGGTGAGGCAAGATGGTGGTCTTGGGGACAGAGGGCTGGATCTGGAGTCAGCAGTACATGATCTCTTCAAAGCCTGCTCTGGATGCTTACTAGCTCTGTGACTGTGGTATGGGCAAATAACCTCCCTGAGCCTTAGCTTTCCTCATCTGTAAAATGAGAAGTTTGGAGTAGATAGTCCCTATGAATGTTTTCAGCTCAAAATCTATGATCCTATTTATTGGTTAATTAAATTGGTTAAACCAATTAAATTGGTTAAACTGTTCTCTCTCTCTCTCATTGAAAAAAAATTCTTTGTCACAGTAGAATGGCTCTCACAATGGAAGGGGACATATTAGGAAACTCAGGTGATATATAAAGGAAAGATGTAAAAAAATTTTTAAAAATGCTTTCCCGGATACCTCCAGCCCATAATGAGCTCTCCACTGCTGATCTCATCACATTTACATCCTAAGTTATTCATTTATCAATCACTGTCTATTGACATCTCCTATGTTATTTAACTCTTCTATTGTTATTAATCATTTCCTGTGCTTTCTCTCAATCAGGTATCTTAAAAATACATTTTATTGATGTCCTTTATCTAACATCACAGTCATTTCCAACCCTTTCCAGATTGAAATTTCCCTGACAACAAAGAGAAACAATTAAACAAAAACATAATATGGTGAACATATCTGCTAATGTATGCATAGTCTGTCCCAGCAGTTCCCCACCTCTCCACTGTGAGGTGGTAGGAGATATGTTCTATTATATGATCTTCAGACTTTTCAATGGCTTTTCAGTTACCGAGAGTTCAATTTTCTTTTAGTGATCTTGTTCATTTATATATATGTATATTAGTCATTTTGGTGGTTCTTGCTTATTTCATTTTGAATTATTTCATACAAATCTTCCCTTGTTTCTCTGAATTCCTGATATATTTATCATTTCTTACTGCACAGTATTATTCCATTATTGTCATAATACCATCATTTTTTCAGTCATTCCCCAATCAATAGATATCCACTTTGTTTCCAGTTCTTTAATACCACAAAGAGTCCTGCTATGAATACTTTGGTATATACTGGACCTTTGTTTTCTGTGTTTGACTTCCTTGGGGTATATATCTAGTAGTGGGATCACGGAGTCTAAGGGTATGGACTTTTTTCATACAATTCCAAATTGTTTTCCAAGATGACTGGACCACTTCCTAGTTACATGAACAGGGCATCCATGTGCCCGCCTTCCCATGGCCCCTCCAACACTGACAAGTCCATCTTTTATAGACTTCATCATCTGCATAGTATGAGGTGAAACCCTAGAGTTATTTTTATTTGCATTTTTCTTGCTATTAGTGAATTAGAGGAACATGAGTGAAAAAAGTTCAAGAAGCTCTGATTTAGAACATAATTTTCATGTGGTCATTTACAGTTTGAAATTTTTATTTTGAAAACTGTTCATATTCTTTGACCGATAATTCCTCAATTAGATTTTAAACTCCATAATGGCAGGAACCATATATCTAATAATTCCTTTGCTCCCTTACTCACCCAGGACAGGGCAAAGAACATAGTAAGTGTTAAGTCAGTATTTTTCAGAATGAATGGGAGTTTTCTGTGACATACACACTCAGCTTGAGATTGACTGCTTAAGTACCCAGTGGAAAAAGAATATAACTTATTCCATCAATTAATCACTCGACAAGCATATATTAAGCATCTAGGAACCAGACACTATAGAAGGCACTAGATATAAATACAAAAAATAAAATAATCCTTGCCCCCAAGGAACGTATTCTCTGGACCATTACAAGATGGCCATCCAGATGCTCATTTGGAATGCTCAGTAACTGAGAGATGTGCTATAGTATTGGTCAATGGTTGATCTAAACATGGCCTATGGTATTATATCTCACCTGTTAAGGTTATTAGGGTAGGGTAAACTGCTTGAGAACTTCACTCCTCCAGCCAAGTCTTCACTAACAACGATATCTAGTTCACTCTTCTGTCGGACTTTTGAATGCCTAAAAAGAAGATTTCACAGAGTGACTGGCTATCCAATGATTCTCAGTACAATCAATCAATCAATCAATCAACCAACACTTATGAAGCACCTACTATGTGCCAGTTTCTATGCTAAGCAATTAGCCTTTCCTGTTGATACCTTTAACCTTCTCAGGGGATAGCCAACCACCTTTTAGATATTTTACTTAAAAGCTCTATAGGAAATACATTTTCATTACAGCACTCAACCATTTGCTGGGGGTGACCCTGGGTTCTTTAAAGTTATGCCAGTGGAACACAACCCTAGTGGGCCTTCTTAAGACTACAGAGAGCTTTGAAGATTGGTCCAGAAACAGAAAGTGTGTTTGTCCCCTGAAGCCTAACCAGCTAAGTTCAGAGAGGCTCATTTCTCCAGAAGGATGGTCACCAAGGTTAATGGCCACGGCAACTCATGAAGCATGGAGAGGTTGGTCCTCTGGTCCATGGCAGGAGGTCTCATACTTCTGGAAGTGGGCATCTTTAAAAGTATCCAAGAAAAAAAGCCCACATTTTCAGACTGATTTGTCTTCTATAAGAATCATGGTCAATTTCTTTTATCATGGAAAGATGGTACCTTTAGTAGTACAAGAATGATATACCAGGGCACCGAGGTGGCGCAGTAGATAGAGCACTGGCCCTGGAGTCAGGAGGAACTGAGTTCAAATCTGGCCTCAGACACATAATACTTCCTAGCTGTGTGACCCCGGGCAAGTCACTTAACCCCATTGCCTAGCAAAAAAAAAAAAAAAGAATGACCTACCACCTGGAAGCACTATTCACAGAAAAAGTTTTTTGCAGCGTTATATCTTAGAACATCTAGTTCTTTATTCAATCATGTTGTTGGTTCTTCAGGGTGGTTTTACCCAGGAAGATGCTAGTAAATGTTTAACAACTGGCCCGCCAGAAAAAAAAGTATGCATGACACACTTTTAAATTTAATCTGTATTATTAAAATTTTCTCAGTCTAGACAATCAACAAAGCAAAAATCAAGCCCTGTTTTGTAGTGTTTGCTGATTTCCAAGGGTAAATGATCACAGTGAAGATTTAATAATAGGCTCTCATGAGCTGGTATAAGCGCGGTCCAGCACACCCTCTCCTGGCTTTTCTGAACTTCTCTCCTACCCAGATTTCATTCTGATGCAGGTAGGGGGCTCAGTGGATAAAGAGTTGGACTTGGGATCAGGATAACTTGAATTCAAAACCTCCCTCACACACTAACTAGCTGTGTGACCTTGGGCAAGTCACTCACTGAACCGCTCTCATCTGTTTCCTCATCAGCAGAACAGGGATAATGAGCACATACCTCTGAGAGTTGTTGTGAGGATCAGATAAGATAATGTTTATAAAGTGCTTTGCAAACCTTAAAGTGCTATTAAATGCTAGCAAGTATTATCATTTTATTCAATACAAAATCTTGAAGTACTGATGGACAATTTCAAAGAATGTCCCAGTTATATCCGGGCTAAGAATTTTCTGAAGCATTTAGAAATAGAAAAGTTCAGATATCTTTAAGAACCATATTCACCTTTATCTTTTTAGAGGTATATACTGGTATAAATTTAGCAGTAATTGTTCTAAAATATAGGCCACACCCCTAAAATGAGATCTTTTGAAAAGAAAAAAATATAGGGAGGTATTCACTCAACAACAGTTCTGCAAATTACCTTAATAAGGTAAAACATTTACTGTGCAAATTTCTTTCATATCCCATTCAATTCCACTGAAGATTTTTTTTAATTAAATTTTATCATCACTCTTTATCTTGGTGACCTATATCATCATTCTCTTAACTCAGATTTTGTACAAGTTAGATTTTGGGAAGAAATAGAGTCTACACCTGGACCAATAATGTATATAAACCAATGACAGGCTTTGGAATTGTTCATCGAAACTGGAAGACAGACATTCTTCTGTAATTTAGTGGTGCTAATGAAAAGCAATGTGATGTACTAGAAAGAACATAGGAAGTCCTGGCTTCAGAAGAGACCTGGGTTCAGATGCTACCTCTAATACTTACCCCTAACATGGACAAGTCACTTCCCTGAGACTCCATTTCTTTATCTGTAAAATGGCAATAGATATCTGTATCTCTTGCCTCATACAATGTTCATGAGGCTCAAATAAGATAATATATGTAAAATACTTTCCAAACCTTCAAAGCACTATGTAAAATATCAGCTATTATTATTAACACTATAATTAACAATACTTCACATTTATATGGTTTTTTAAGGTTTAAAAGGTACTTATATCATAACAACCCCATGAAGCAGGTAGTAAAAGTATTGTTTTAAAAGTCAAAATTTTTCAAATGAGGAATCAGACCTAGGTTAAGTAGACTGACCACAGCTAGAGACAGGATGGGCCAGGACTTGACCCCAAGGCTCCTTCTAACAATACCATGTAACCTCTGTATTCAAAATAAAATTGATAGTGAGAAATTATCAAAATAAAAAGACATATAGCAGGCTTACTACTGGGACAACTGAAAAAATAACGTCAGAGAGCTTTTAGAAAATTGGTAAAGCCCTAGGCTTAAGGTCAATTATGTATATGCTGATTGAGTGGAGATAGTGGATAGAGGAAAAAGCAGTGCCCACGTCCATTGGTCATCCGCAAACACCCACTCACCACTGCACTGGCTGCCAGTTGGGAAGGAATGGCCTAAACCCCGTGATGCACTCAAAGGCCAGGGTCCCAAAGCTCCAGTAGTCCACTGTGACTGTGTACTTCTGTTGTTCTAATAGCTCCGGAGCCTGTGAAGAGACATTATTGAGTTTGACTTGAGAAGTTCTTTTGTCCTCCAAGCCCCATGGGAAAAGGCAAGACATTCAAACTACCCCTACTTTCATTCTCCTCCAATGTGCCTCGGTGGATATTAGGTGGAGCCATGCCACGCCTGATCTGTGCATAAGAAGGTAAAGGAAAGAACTTCCTTATTTACTTCCTAGGCTCCAATTCCAGGGGTTCCATCTTGTTCCCCTGGTTCAAATCATTAAACCAGAGGGAAGGACCAGGGAGAAGGACTCCAGGACTTTGTTTTGATCCTTACTCTGCTTTGGGGGGATGGGGAGGAATGGGACAGCAGAGAAGGGGAGGTATACAGTATGCCTGATAAGTTTTCCCATGAAGCCAGCATCACTGTCATCACCATTATCAACAAAGGTTGGCTGAGTGCTTGCCATACCTGGGAAACGGGTTAGATAAGGAAGATACCAGGAATGTTATTGTGTAAGGGAACATCCCTATATAGGGAAAAGCTTTTTTAAATGGGGTGGGGGATATTTTAAAAATATGACTTCTGAGAAATGCATATATTTTTAAATGCCAGAAAAGTTTGATCTCCATGACATACTGTACCTTTTGGGGTTTAAGCAACAACGTAGAGGGGCTGAGGGGATTGTTGGGAGGGGTGGGAGGCAGCACCTTTAAATGTTTCCCAGAGAGAGGCAGCTAGGTGGCACAGTGGATAGAGCACGGGCCCTGAAGTCAGGAGGACCTGAGTTCAAATGTGACCTCAGACTAAACATCTGACACGACACTTACTAGCTGTACGATCCTGGGCAAGTCACTTAACCCCAATTGCCCAAAAAAAAAAGTTTCCCAGAGGATACAAATGGCTTGTTTTGCCTCTGGTGCTAAGAAGTTCAAGACAGGATCCCTGCCCTCAAGAAGCTTACACTCTAAGGAGGCAGGATAAATGCTGTGAGGAAAGTGCTTTTTAAAGTGCTATATAAATTCATCTCCAGATAGAGAGCTGATGAAGTTGGGCCAGAGACTGAAGCATATTTTCTTCTCTTTCTTTTAAAAAGATTATTTTTGGACATGGATAATGTAGGAACTATGCATATTTGTAATGGGTTTTAGTTTTTTGTCTTCTCAATAGGTGAGGAAAGGGATAAGGGGAGGGAGAAAATTTGGAACTGAAAATAAAAGAAGACTGAATTTTAAAAGATGCTATATAAATGAGATGATAGAAGGTATAGCACAGTGGATCTCAAAACCAGGAACATCTGGATTCAAGCCCTACCTCTGACACATATTTGGGGTGTGACCCCAGGCAAGTCAGTTAACCTCTCAATTTGTCCAACAGCATTGGTAGGAGTTTTCTCATTAGGAATTCCCTGACCCATACCAGTGAAATCACAGGCCTGGTCCCTAGCCCTATGTAAATGAGGAGCACGATAATGATTTTATATTTGAAAATATATAAGACAGGCCACATGCCTTAGTGGAAAGAATGCTGCTGAACTTGGGAATCATACTTGCTAGTTACATGACCAGTCAAAAATAAGTTGCTTAAATTTTCTGCATCTTACTTCTCTCCTTTGGCATCAGAAGACCTAATCTGAAAGGTGGGAGGAGGAGGAAGGCCCAAGGACTTCTTGTTAGGTAGTATATAGAAGTGATTCTTATTTAAGTACGGGTGGGTCTCTAAAGTAGCTTCCAACTTTGAAATGTCAAGATTCTCTGATTCTGTGATTCCATGGAAGGGGAATCCGCCCATAAGGAAGGGTGTGTTGGAAAGATAAGCAGGCCTTATCACTACATTGATTAGAACTGGTGATGAGATATCATATCAAGTTGGATGTGTCTGGAAGAAAGACTATTTGGCCTGGCTTGAGGACAATGGTGCAGACAGACAGCAATAATTAAAAGGCATCCAGATGCTGGTTGAATTTTTGACATGGCCTGAGCATCCTTCCATGTAGGATAAAGAGCAGGGGCCTAAGAACAGATTGCTGGGGAAATGCCTATAGACTAAGAAATGATCAAACAAATTGTACCTGAATGTGATGGCACACCTTTGGATGAATAGGAATAATCTGGAGAAACTCAAGAAGATTTATGTACTGATGCAGAATAAAATAAACATAAATAGGAAAGCAACATACATGATGACTGCAGCAAAGACCCAAAATCTGAATCTGAAAGCTATGTAATAACAAGAGTCCTGGTCCTGGAGAACAAATGAACACAGGTGGGGAACTCTATCCACGCTATGTTGTGTTCACTGTCAGACTCTGCTGATGTATTAGTTGGTTTTGTTAAAAACTGTATTTTTTTTCTTTTTTAAAAATTCTTTGTCACAAGAGATGGTTCACTGGGAAGAAAGGGAAAAGGGAGATATTTAAAAATGGAGGGAGGTGATGCAAAAAGAAAAGATATAAAAAAATTTAAAAAGAAAATAAAATCTCTTAGAGGTGCTCCCATAGCCAGCAGAAGATAAATTGATGGTGGGTGGATCCTCCCTAAAAGAGACTCTATAGAATCTACAAAATTATGGTGTTCACAGAATTATCAGATCCCCAAGTCTAATCATGAGACTGAAAAATGGGTGAGTACAATTAGGACAAATAAAAGGAAACTACTTCATAGAGCAGGCAATAAACGAATGATTATGGTAACAGTAAATGGATCTGAAAAAGTCAAGCTTTTTTTTTAAAGATGGAAAAGATGTTCAGTCATCTGACTCAATCCAACTTCCTCAGGTTATAGATGAGGAAATTCAGGCCCAGTGAGGGCCACGGCTTTCCCAGACACACTGGGAGTTGAAGGCAGAGACAAAGTCATAAATGGCTTCTAAGAGAAGCTGGGGTATGACTCACAGAAGGACCATCATGACCCATCGCTTGGGGCTGCTACAAATAGAATATTAGGATGGCTGGTTCATGGGGTTGATCCAGCAAGATACCTTTCCCACTTTCCTGTGAAACATCCAGATGGCTGGGGTGGGGATAAAATGTCTGGAGTCCTGGAAAACAAGGTGCCTATGGGTGTATCACAAGAAAAAGGAACGGGTATATGTGCCAATCCCACCTCTTACCAGATACTGCAGCGTCCCCACAAAAGAAGTGCAAAGACTGCCTTGATCCAGCTCTTTAGCATACCCTAGGTCAATGATCTTGTGTATTAACTGAAAAAACAAACAAACAAACATTCAAGGTTTGTGAAAACAATATGCTATGACTCTATTCCAGAATAAACATCTTTGTGCTGGAATGAAGAGACAGTTACGGGTAAGGCAGCTAAATGTAGATAGTGTGAACACCCTTTATCTGATACAGCAGTTCTGATGTCAGAACAATTAGCAAGGATGAGTGTACAGCCACAGTACATTGGGACAGAGGTGACTGACTCCTTTTGGCAGCTGACCACATGTCCTGGTTTCCCAAACTGAGTTTAACCTAGGAGACTTTAGGAAGCCTGAGAGTTCTGTCACTGCAATCTTAAGAGACCAGCTGTGGCATCCCAGTATGACCAAGGCTACTGTTCATCTTCTCACCTGAAATGAACAAAGCTGCCTGTCCACTGCTACTCACACACAGATGTTTCTCAGACAGGAACTTCCGGGAGAGGTTGAAGCCCAGGGAAGATGGCCTCAGCATCATGTGGCCAGATCTGGCTTTGTAGGACATAGACTCACCTTGTTCAATGTGAACCGAGAGCAATCTTGGGTATAAACTAACTCTCTCGGCCCAAGGGTAGAATTTGTTAGGCCTTCCCCCAATCCCCACCCCATTCCCTTTATCCCTACCCCACTCTTTTGATCTCAAGTTTGACCTTTAGATCAGTGGTGTCAAACTCAAGGGTGCAGTTGCCAGGTGGAACCAGATTAAATTGTAATTGGAAAAGGTTTAACAAAATAAATAAAACACATAGCTAACTTTAATTCGTGGGTTTTCTAAGTCAACACGAAACCCTCAGGGCAGCCCATTTTTATTTGTATCTGACACCAGCTATTTTAGATGAATGAATGGATGAATTTATTAAGCATCATGTGCCAAGCACTGTGCTAAGCCCAGAGAATACAAATACAAAAGCAAAGACAGCTCCTGCCCTAAAAGAGTTTGTATTCTAACAGGGGGAGAGTGAGGACCAGGGAGGCTACTTGGGTTTGGAAAGTTAAAGGGAAGATGAGGGGAGGTGGTGGGGTTAGAAGGAGCATAGGGGTATGTAGATTGACATACCTTTTACAAAAGCATTGACAGAGCTAATTTGATTATGGGTCAGAGGCTTCCCTTCCATGCTGGGGCTGGCAGAATATGGCTGAGGAGATGTAATGTGTGATTGAGGCAACCACTGATAGGAGAGGGAGGCCCCCGGGCTAAAGTTGGGCTTTATTGATGAAACCTCTCATTTTGGTGCCTGGACACATGTTTTGCTTTAGGCTCCCATAATAACAACAACAATAATAACAACTGGTGGCACAGCAGATAGAGCTCTGGGCCTGGAGTCAGGAAGACTCATCTTCCTAAGTTCAAGTTCAGCCTCAGACACTTCCTAGCTGGATGACCCTGAAGAAGTCACTTAAGCCTTTTTATCTCAGTTTCCTCATCTGTAAAATGAGCTGGAGAAGGAAATGGCAAACCACTCCAGTATCTCTGCCAAGAAAACATTGAATGGGGTCACAGAGAGTCAAACACGACTGAAAAACAACTGAACAACAACAAACAATGTGCCAGGCCTGTGTTTAACATTATCATTATTATTATTATTATTATTATCTCATTTCATCCTCAAAACACTCCTGGGAAGTTGGTGCTATCATTTTCCCCATTTTATAGATGAAGAAACTGAGGCAAACAGAGGTTTAGTGACCTGCCCATGGTCACACAGCTAGTATGTATCTGAGGCCACATTAGAACTCAGGTCTTCCTGACAACAGGACCAGCACTTTATCTGCTGCTCTGTCTCAATGCCCTATTTATGTTTTATTCTTTGCTCTTTACTCTGGTAACTGAACCCCTATGCTCAGTGTAACCTGCATCTTGCTTCTGGTCCCTTGTCTACCACTGAAGTTTTGCAAAACACTTTACAAACATTATCTCATTTGAGATTCACAACAACCTTGGGAGGTAGGTGCTATTTATCCCCATTTTATAGATGAAGAAACTGAGGAAGAGGTTAAGTGACTTGCCCAGGGTCACACATCCTGTAAGCGTCTGAGGCTGGAATTGAACTTAGGTTTTCCTGACTCCAGGCCTACCACTCTACTCCAGGGCTTCTTAAACTTTTTTCTCTCTTGACCCTTTTAGTATTTTGGCAGCTTTTGTTGGCCTTGCATGGCCCGAGGGGATGAGCAGTGCAAAGTGCACATGCTTTGTGTTCAGAACCAAGGCTGCTGTGAAGTTGCCTGTTTCAACACAGGCAAGTGTTGCCAGAAACACCTCAGATTCATTACGCATTTTATTTTGAATTAATTTTTGGTTGCTGCGCATTCAGAAACTTTTTACCATTGCCAAACTTTTGGTGAACCCATTTGGGGTCCCCACCCACAGTTTAAGAAGCGCTGTACTACATATCACAAGCTGTCGCAAGACCTAGTCCCTGCCAACAGCGGTCACACAGCTAGTAAGTGTCTGAGGCTGGCTTTGAACTTGGGTCTTCTTGACTCCAGCACTCTATCTATCACATCACCTAGCTACTAAAAGACCTAGCCTCCTGGTGGGTGGGAAACCCGCAGCCTTTGACTGAATCCAAACTTCACAGAATAAATCCTTTTATTAAGTGAAGTCTGGATTCATTCAAAGGGCTGTACTTCAGGACCTAGAGGGCCACATATGGCCTTGAGGCCTCGGGTTCCCCACCCTTGACCCAGTCCCCGCCAGCAGCAGCCTCCATTCACCATCCCTTTAACTTCCAAGCCAACTAGCCCTCCCCTGGCCACCATGACTAGAGAGGACCACCATGAGGCTGCTATCAACAACAGAATAAATACCAGGAAGGCTGGATCGCGGGTCTGACCCAGCACCTTACATTTCCTATGTTCCCATGAAACATCCAGATAGCTGGGTGGGCGGGGAGACACTTCCTCCAAATATCCCCTTCCACCCAGATCTCTCTTCTGTCCAACCATACACAAGTTCTCATGCCTAAAAGTCTCAGTATTGGCATCAAGATCTAGAATTGTCTTTCAACTGGTGTCCAGTAGAGCAATCCAAGTAGGGGCTCTCAACACCGATGGGAAAAGAGGTCTCATTCCAAGAATTGTAGGGCCCTCAAGGGTAAGGGGTAAACAGTATTTTCCTTATCAGACCTGTGCCACCTGGGCTCTTCACAATACCAGCCATTCAAATGCGCTCTGATCTGCAAGAAGTTTCATACTGAGCTGCGTCTTTCAAGCCATTAAAAGTGGTCCCAGAGAAAATCAAAGCTTCACACAAGGAAATGAAAATACAAACAGAGAGGCTGAAAAACATTTCCTCTCCCCACCAAGAATGGGCTCCCTGGGATGAATGCCACATACAGAACATACAGAGTCACCAGACTCTGATTTCCACTCACCCTTTTTTCTCCTTGTTGCAGAACGATGTTTTCAGGCTTCAGGTCCCGATGGATGATTCGGTTTTCATGAAGGTATCTAAGTGCTGAGGCTGTGGTTTGGAAAGGGAGCAGTTGTTAAGTCTAGAGAACAGCTCACATTTTAGGATTTTCCCCATTACGTTACAGCTCAACCCCAGAACTCTTCCCCATTGCCCATTAAGGAGGAAAAGACTGGTGGCTCTCTAGAGGAGTGCCGTAGTCCTTACTTTTGTTTGGTGTCATGTTTTTAATTAAATTTTTTTAGTTAATGACAAGAACTCCTGACATTTATATAGTGATTTTTGGTTGTACTTTTGATGTCATTAGCATTGGGAACTTCTGGGGAAAGAGCTCCTTCCAAAGACGCAGATTAAAGAATGTTCTGCAATTTATAATTTGGAGAGCTGCCTGGGTGCCTGGCACTGAGAGGTTAAAAGAATTCCCAAAGATCACACAGCCAGGATGTGTGACAGGCAGGACGTGAATCTAGGTCCTTCCTTATTCTGAGGCTTGGCATCTCTCCAACAAGCCAACCTGCCACTCTCTAGATAATGCTTCAATTGTTACAAATTGCTTTGCCCACAAGGATCTCATGAGGTAGGTAGTGTAAATTCTCATTTTACAGATGACACTACTGAGGCATGTCATACAATTTTCTAACAATCAAAGCTGTCCCAGAATGGAATGAGCTGCCTCATGAGGAGACTTCCCCATTATGGAAGTGTTTCGGGCAAGGCTTAATGATCACAAAACAGGAGACACCAACAAGGAAGGCGCTTGACAAAAGGAACAGATTAAGTTGAGGAGGATACTGTAAGGTATAATTAAGTTGGGGCCACAGCAGAGTATTTTATTGAAAATGATGACCAAAACCTATACACCAGGACAGTTTAGTAGAAAGGTACTACACTTGAGAGCTGGGAGAAAAGACGCGGGTTAAATTGTATACTTTGATGTATACTAAGTGTGTGACTTTGTACAGGTTACTTGACCCCTATAAGTCTCACTTTTTTTTTTCTTGTATGGAATGAAGATACTAATTATTCTATTTCCTGTCTCAAGGGATTGTTGTGAGGAGGGTGCTTTGTAAGCCCCAAAGCACTATGTTATTATTATTGCCAGAAGTTTAATCAGTCAGTCCTTAAGCATTTATTAAGCGCCCACTATGTGCCACACATTGTATTGTGGCAACTGAAAATTTTCAAGAGACAGAGTTTCTGGGTAAATTGTAATTGATTTTTATTAATTATGGCTAGCAAGTAATCAATAAAATGAGCTCAGTTGTTTCTCTTGGTAACCAAAGAGACCTAACATGGAGTACCCTGAATACTTATAAAGCCTTTGGAAAATGGGGTGCACCTGAGGGTGGAAATCAACTCTGATTGGTTAACAAGTAATGAGAGAATGAATGGTATAATGAGATGTGGGCTTATTCTGAGGAGGGGGCTGGAGAAGTGACTCTGATCACTTAATCTTGGACAAAGAAACTTATCTATACCCAGACCACTCCAGTCTAGGGCAATCTAGACAAAAGAGGGAATCCATTTCCACCCAGATCTGTCTGACTAAAACACAACGGGTATAAATCCACCAATTCACCTAGACTAGAATTTCTTTTGATCTTTTGATCAGACCTAAATTTTCCCAGTTGGGTAAGTTTTGCCCAAGATTTCACCTCATTATCAGCCCTGCAGTTCAAAGGCTGACTGAATAACCTACAGGGACTAATTTCTGAATGAGGAAATAGAAATGGGAAATGCTAATTCAATAATTGGTTGTTAATGTGAGAGAGAAAGACCATTTCTTTCTCAGTATTAAGAGCCTGGGGGAACAAAGAAAGGCAAAGGTCAGAGGTCCCCTGCTCTTGGGAACTCAGTCTAATGAGGCACACATTAGGCAAATAGCTATATACAAACAAGTAGCATAAAATGGATATTGGATAAAATGGAGATAATCAAAAAAGGCAAAGAGTGCAAAAAAAAAAAGAGGCAAAGAACTAGAAGTAAAAGGGATTGGGAAAGGCTGCTTGTGGTGTTGGGATTTTAGCTGAGACTTGAAGGAGGCAGAGATGAGGAGGAAGAGAGTCCAGGAGTGAGACACAGTCAATGAAAATGCCCAGAGTTGAGTGATGGAGTGTCTGGTTGGAGGAATAGCCAGGAGACCCTTGTTACTGGACAGCAGAATGTGTAGGGGAGAGGAAGGCACAAGAAGATTGGAAAGGTAGGAGGGGGATGGTTTATAAAGGGCTTTGAATGCCACTTAGTTTAGAAAATCAAAGGACCAGGTTAAAAATGATTGGGAAAGGCTTAACAAAATAAATAAAATATAATACGACATAGATAATGTTAATTTGGGGTTTTCTAAGTCAATATGAGGCCCATATAGAGCACTTATTTCAATAGTCTCATTTTATAGATGAAGAAACTGAGGCACAAAGGGATAAAGAAGGGAATAAGCATTTATTTTGCACTTACTATATGCCAGGCACTGTGACATTTTTCTTTTTCAAATATTATCTCAAATCAAAGACTATAGGGCAGAGCTTAGCCTAGAATCCAGGTCTTTTGACTTCTTGTCCAATGTTATTTCCACTATACTATTTGTTTTAGTAGAGTTCATGAAAATACCTTCAATAATAATAATACCTTGTATTTGCATAAGAGTTCATAGTTTTCAAGAGCAATATAATCTCATCTGATTCACACAGCAAACTTCAAGGTAGGCAGGCCAGATGTTTGGGGTTTTGTTTTTATTTTTTTTTAATTTTTAGGCAATTGGGGTTAAGTGACTTGCCCAGGGTCACACAGCTAGTGTCAAGTGTTTGGTCTGAGGCTGAATTTGAACTCAGGTCCTCCTGACTTCAGGGCTGGTGCTCTATCCCCTAGCTGTCCCCAGATAGTTGGTGAACAGATGAAGACACCAGAGCCCAAAGTGGTTACTACCAAGTGACTTGTCTGAGATCACATAGAAGAGCTAGGGACTAGAAGCTACGTTTTCTGGTATCTGATATTAAAAAACAATTGATATTTACAGCACTTTAAAGTTTGCAAAGGGCTTTTGTTTGACCTTTAGATGAACCCCATGAGGTAGGAAGTGAAAGTATTATTTTACAGATGGAGAAACTGAGGCTCATGAAGGTTACATGATTTGCCTATGGCCACCCAGCTAGCAAAGGGGAGATTTGAACTCAGGTCTTCTAGACTCGTAGTATATTCTCTACTGTAGCACTTCTTGTTTCTTAACAGGAAATAAACTATGCCTCTCCCCATGTCAAATTTCTCCTTTCCCCAACCTCCCTCCAAATTACTCTTAAAGCAAAGACCAGTTCAATAAAGAACACTTGGACCCTATCATTACAAAAACAAAACCCTCCTATTTCCTAGGCAGTGGGAAGCCTCCTATTAGTTCAGAGAAGAGAGAATAGTTACTCTATCAAACTACTCATCGCTGACTCATCCAAGCCAGAAGAGTAAGATGAGCTAATGCTGACAAAAGATGAGATAAGATTTCACGTGTTGCAGTGAAGGCCTGCAGGAAGATGCTGGTATGGGCAGGGTATGCACTGGCCTTCAGGAAGCTGAGACAGAGCCCTTTTTTTAGAGTAAGGAAGGGCCCCCCATCATACACCCCTCAGAACTCAGAACACGAATCTCTCCAAGCAGAAGGAAACATACTTGGGTATTCTCAGAAAGGATAATGATCAAGAAATATTTCTATAGAATCCTTACAAGACTTCCTCCGGCTATTTTAGGAAAGTGTTATGGAAAAACCCTGGTCAGTTCCGCATTAACACATCAGAGGAGAGGTGGTCCTTCCAAACAATGGGCAGGGTCCCCAAGGCCATTCATATCCAGGCATCAGAAATAAAGGGATCAAAATAGGCTTGGATGACATTGGCTTCTTTTTTGGGGGGGCTACCAGTGATTTCTTTGGGATAGGGAACTCTCAATAAGCAAACTCCCTTTAAAAAGGCATATCAGCAATTATTCAGCAATTTAGTTTTGCAGAATTGCCTAGGGCCCTAGAGGTAAAGTCACAAAGCCTGCTTCAGATAGGGGACTTTAACCCTGGCCTTCCAGATTTGAGGCTAGCTCCTATCTTTCTTTATCTAACGAAATGTCTAAATTTTTTTGGGGGGGGGGGTTAGGCAATGGGGTTAAGTGACTTGCCCCAGGGTCATACGGCTAGTAAGTGTTATGTGTCTGAGGTCAAATTTGAACTCAGGTCCTCCTGAATCCAGGGCTGGTGCTCTATCCATTGCGCCACCTAGCTGCCCCCGAAATGTCTAAATTTTTGAAAAATCTGAATTACAGAATAATTTTATAGATAGAAATGTAATTCTGTTTACATTGCTTATTGCTAGGTAAACAAGGTAGTTTATACTTAGGCAGCCTAAGGGTTTCCTAAAAAAATTCTTTCATCTTAATTGTGCTAGTCAGACAATTAGCATTTTTTGTTCAGTTGTTTTCAGTCTTGTCTGACTCTTCATGACCCCATTTGGGGTTTTCTTGGCAAAGATACTGGAATGGTTTGCCATTTCCTTCTCCAGTTTATTTTACAGATAAGGAAACTGAGGCAAAAAATGTAAAGGGATTTGCCCATTGTCACACAGCTAGTAAATGTCTGAGGCTACATTTGAACTAATGTAGATGTGTCTTCCTGATTCCCAGACCAGTAAAATATTTAGCAAACCTTTAAAACCACGTATAAATGCTAGTTACTGTTCCTAACCCCAGAGGACGGGTCCTCAGAACCTATCTAGTCCAATCAGTCCTCTCATTTTACAGATGATGAAACTGATATTGACCCTGCTGGGAATTTAGCTATAGTAGTTAACCCAGATACAGAGACATTGAGTTTGGAACCAGATAGTGAATGCAGGGTTTGACTGTACTCCATAGATACAAATGAACCCAGCTAAGGTATAGGGAAACTAGGCTGCAGTCCCTGTGGTTGGTGAGGCTGAGGCTGGTTGCTTGAGTTTGGGAATCCTGAGCTGCATTTGGGTTTAAGGTTAATTTGGTGTCCACACTAAGTCTGCCACCAATCTGGTAAGCCCCTGAGGGTGGAG